GTCAGTACTTAATTCCGTGAACACCTGGTGTGCCTGTACTCCGCGGATAAGGTTGCTTCAACCGCAGGCTCCTAAACCATCCGTCCTTAGCGTTCTCGCTCCTCCTTTACTAGGGCGCACGTGCAGTGTTATATAATACAAATCTATTTTTAATTTATTACCGGATACAGAACGAACAAGAGGAGGAGAACGCTATAGGACGGCTGGCACAAATGTCGTCGCCGAGATCCCCGAGGCTGACTAAGCGGACGGTGGCTGAAGCCTTTCACCAGCGGTCGGCGGGCCTTCACGCAACCATTTACAACTTATTACCTTGGGATTTACCGCTCGGTGTACTTTATAGTAATGTAAAAATGTCCTAACTGAATGGTATACTCATGCAATGGTTATCAGTAGTACCGAAGGCTGAATATCCGGCTGAAGAGGCATAATGGCTATAGACAAGCCCCTCTGAGTGTCAGAAGTATACCAAAGGTATTTGCATTGGTCTTGAACTATTTTAGCACCCGTTTATATGTGTTCTGCCTGAGCTCAACGAGGTAGGTGTCGAGACGCTCTCTACATCGCCCGCCAACCGCTGCTGAGAGGCTTCAGCCACCGTCCGCTTAGTCAGCCTCGGGGATCTCGGCGACGACATTTGTGCCAGCCGTCCTATAGCGTTCTCCTCCTCTTGTTCGTTCTGTATCCGGTAATAAATTAAAAATAGATTTGTATTATATAACACTGCACGTGCGCCCTAGTAAAGGAGGAGCGAGAACGCTAAGGACGGATGGTTTAGGAGCCTGCTTCAACCGGTAATACCAGCAGTTATCCTTCATCGTCGATCACTGGTCCGCCGGATCAGAGTCCTATTCCGGAAGGACCCCCGACTTCCGAGCTAGTACGCATAGCCGCGATCACCTTCATACCACTGCTCGTCAACAACAGTACACGCCTTCCCGCGATATATTCGGTGTCGCCCAGCACTTATAATCCCACTGAATCTTTTCCTACTACCAGGACCTGCTCCGGAGCATCAGCGCCGTGCTCAATGAGGTTCCATCCCTTCCTCGCAGTCCTTGCTGCCGCAGCCTTTGTTCATGGCGAGATATACTCTGACCCAGCTGAGATCATCGACGAACGTTACGACTATGTCATCGTCGGCGGTAAGTGTCTCCCATCCACAAGTTCTTCTCTCCTCCAAGTTCTAATTCACTCATTTCTGCGCAGCTGGTGCAGGGGGCAGCGTCCTGGCTAACCGACTCACAGAAGATCCCAGCAAGAAGGTCCTACTGATTGAAGCAGGATCTAGGCAAGCGTGCCAAAGATACTGAGATGTGAACCTCTGAAAGTCACTGCTTTGTGCAGCGACTACAAAAACTTAAACATAGAAGTCCCATGGTTCGCAGCGTTGCTGGCCAACTCGAGATTTGTCAGTAATCGTGCTTCGGGGCCTGATATACACATATTGATGGTCCGCGCTTGACATATAGGACTGGAATTATACTACCGTACCGCAGCCTGGATTGAACAACCGCTCCCTCCCGTTCCAACGAGGTCGCGTACTGGGGGGATCCACGGCAGTCAGTACGTGCATTTACTCCCCACATTACACACGTATGTCCTTTAACGCTATGTTTTGGCAGATTACATGATCCATAACCGCGGCTCTCGGGATGATTGGGACCGCTATGCTGAAGTTACCGGAGACAAGGGATGGTCCTGGGACGCCATGTATCCCTACATGCTGAAGGTCAGAACTCGATCGTTCCGCCATCGACCTTATGTTAATATGCGTGAATTGCGGTATAGATCGAGAAACTGGTGCCTCCAGCGGACGGTCACAACACCGACGGCCAGATAGACCCTTCCATTCACGGCACAGACGGTATGTATGTTGTCTCTGAAGGAACCCTACCATTAGAGTGAACACCGATCCTTCGCTATATAGGACCACTTGCTATCAGTCTTCCGGGTTTTCTGCTAGGGACGGACGAAAGAGTCGTCAACGCCTCGCACGAACTCCCTGAATTCCGCTACAATATCGACCAGAACTCCGGGGATATGATAGGAATTGGTGCGTGGTCTAGAGTTTCGTGTGGGTCATTCGTCTAAACATAACCTCCGCTTCAGGCTGGGCACAGTCCACGGTACGATCTGACAGTAGGCATGTAAATGACCACATGGCTGACAGAGAGATAGATTGCAAATGGTACACGCACAACGTCTGCCGGTTCCTATATTGAGCCTGCCCTTCTACGCCCCAACCTGGATATCCTAGTCGATACCCAGGTCACGAAAGTGTTGCAGACAGGCAATCATGATGGCACGCCGGTATTTCGCGGAGTAGAGTTCGCGCAGTCTGCGACTGGTATGTTATCTGCGACTTGATCAGTCTTCTTCATATCTGACGAAGAGGATTCCCGTCAGGCCCCCTCTTTCAGATTAACGTCACCGACGAGGTAATCCTTGCTGCAGGCGCGATCAATACGCCACAAATACGTGAGTCTTCCCTCCATCTTTATACACATAGCGTTCTGACTCAGCGCCGTCAGTACTACTTTCTGGAATCGGTGATTCCGCAGAACTCACTCCTCTTGGCATCGAGACCCTGGTAGACCTGCCTGATGTCGGAAAAAATCTGCAGGCAAGTATATTGCATACCGCGCGATATCTATCTAAACACGATAGCCAACCATATCCCAGGATCACCCCTTGCTGACCTCATCGTATACCGTCAACTCCGACGATACCCTCGATAACTTGATAAGCGACGCAGCCTATGCTGGGCAGCAATTCGCTCTGTGGCAGGCCAACCGCACCGGTCAGCTCGTGCTTTCACCTACAAACCAAATAGGCTGGTTCCGACTGCCCGAGAATGCCAGCATCTGGGAGACGCACCCCGACCCCACTGCCGGGCCCACGTCTTCCCATTACGAGTTTGTTTTCACTGTCAGCCTTATTTTGCCTCGGTTCTGCATATATGCTCGCGCTGACCAGGTAGTTGTCGTAGGACGCGTACATTTCGTTTGTGGGCGGGCCCCGACCCTCCGGTCACTTCTTCACTGTCTTTACCAACGTGATTTCTCCCACTTCCCGTGAGTATTGGTGTTTGCTGCGCCGGTGAGATTCCAGCTAGATCTCACATTACTTTCAGGCGGGAGTATCACGCTCAAGAGCAGCAACCCATTCGACCCGCCCCTGATGGATCCCAACATGCTCGGGACAGACGTGGACACCTTCGTCATGCTCGAGGCGGTCAAGGCGGCTCGCAGGTTCATGTCGGCGCCCGCCTGGAACGGCTATATCCTGGAGGAATACGGGCCGTTCGCAGAGGTACACACCGACGAGGAGATCATCGCGTATGCTCGCAAGTACGCTTCAACAGTTAACCACGCTAGCTGCACAGCGGCGATGGGGAAGCGAGGCGTCGTGGGTGAAGGGAAGGGCGTACTCAACCCGGATCTTACGGTAAAGGGAACGGTTGGGCTGAGGGTCGTCGATGCTTCCGCTTTCGTAAGTGGTGTGATTGATTCTGGATAGTAGAGTACTGACAGGATTGACAGCCATATGTGCCTGCGGCGCACCCGATGGCGCCGGTATATCTGTTGGCTGAGCGGGCTGCTGACTTGATCCGCATGTCCGAGCTTCTGGATTCCCGTGCTGTCCTTGATGCTAGCAGACCTGGCGAGTGGCGGCTGATGAATCAGTTGCAAGAACTGCTTCCTTTCAGATTACCTTTCTGAAAAAACCAGCAGTCGTACCCTTACCATCATGTTTCTCTAGTCTCGTATATGCGTCCTAATATCGTCCGATCCTTGCGTAATCATACTTTAGCATCTGTGTTATCAGGATAGTTGATTGACATCAGGTTTGCGGGGGCTAGCAAAAGCTATGTAACAAGAACATCAACAAGAAATGTCCAACAAGGAGCGCATTCGACAAATAGGATAATCCCGAATGATCTGCAAATGAAAGTGAGCAAGGAGGGCAAGGACAGACTGAAAGCGTCCCGGTTGCAATCAAGATAGAAGGGATAATGAAAACAAAAAGGAAGGTTCATCAACACATAAAAAGTTGCCGCTGTGTGTTTGATATTCTGTACGGGCAGTAACCTATGGGGATTACGGGGATCCCGGGGCTGTAATTCATACCATGTCCGAAGATACCTCTTTCTGGACCGCAACTTCTATAACCACTGACCGTACCGGGCTTGTCTGGAGATCCAGGAACTGTAAAACATCAGAGTATGTCCTACACGCGGGTCGAGACAGGGTACATACATTGCTGTGCAAGCTAGCCCTCCCTACGTCTTTAGAGGCGGTGTCGGATGAGCCACGCTGGAATATCATCCACTCTGAGCGAGGCTTGGGCGGAAGAGTGAGCTTGCTTACTCGGAGTGATGTGGTACCAGTTGTCACACAACCAAGCGACCTAGGACGGGTAGATTCTTTCATCTTACTCGACCCTTTCGTCGTGGTATGGGCTGTAATTAGCTCTTCCTCCTGCTTGTGCCACCGCTCTTTGAGCGAATTGCGCGCATTCAGCCTGTCCCTAAAGATTCGACTCCGTTTTATCTCGCCTGCTATCGGACACTTACATGGCCATGAAAGAATTCACGTATACTGTTAGAAGCGTGAGATTAGAGGCAACGACAATATGGATGTGGCGACGACGCACGCTTGATCAGCACGAATTCCAAACATAGATAAATCAAATCATTCGGCATTGTAGCGTACTGGATTGCGAAGGCACGTTAGCGACGTGTTAACGGGACGGTTTACAGAGAAAGTACCTACCGTTGTGATGCACAACAGAGAAAATATACTACGCCGAGATCACGAAATGGACTCAGCAGGCAGAGACATTAATTGGCTCGCACCTGGTAAGTAACCCAGTATTCAGGGTATAAATCATGATTGAGTTCGTAATCGAGTCCGTCCTGAGGAAGCCTTAGCAAATGCTCGGAAAGGTGCCTTGCGCAAGGCACTAACGGCGCAAATCCAGTCCGACGCTGGTACAGAATCCAGCAGAATGAGACAGCTATGGAGATGTCCAGGGCTGTGGACGCGCTGTAGCCGGTGTACAATGACCACTGTGGTAACATGTGGGTGGTGTGGATGGCGATCCCGTTGAAATCGCAACTTACCTTTATGTGATTGACGTCTCCAAAGGTCTTAATGATAAAGCTGGGTACGGTTATCAGTTCTTTTGCTGAGGACATCCAGGGAACGACGTATATTCACCTATAGTATATCGCGGCTGGGGCATGATAACTGTTATTAGTTACAGTCAGAACCATCGGACGGATTGAACGTGCGTACCTATGGCAGCTCCTGAAGTATGTTCAGAGATCAGGTACAGCAATGAGCGGGAAGGAAAACTCACCCAGACTCGCGATGAGGAGTGTCGTCTGATGACGAGGTCGAGTGAGCTTACATCCTCTTGCATATACGGTGGGCCTGAGATAATTACCACCACTACGGGCACCAAAATCTTCCTTCCGCCACGATACACTATACAATTGTGTAGGACAAGCATTCGCTTTCAGGGCGCGTGCACTTACATCTCCACAGGCGCAGTGCATACATCCTGCACAGCCGTGATAAGCGCACCGGAGGCGCCATCCAGACATAGACTTACGTATTTACCGATACAGTAATGATACTCTTAGCATGACGAAACAGTCAGCTCTACTTAAGTCCATGTGGGAGGAAAGCGAATATACTTACGTCAAGGATTGGTTTCAGTCGAAAACTCCACGCGACCTCGAAATCAGGCTGGAGGTAGTGGATGATGACATAAAAGTACACGGCATGGATGTTGAATGCCAGATGGCATGCGTCCATCACCCTAAATCAAACAACTCTTGTCGGACGGTCCACTGGCTTTAAGGTGTAGAGTATGACTGACCATAAAAATGCGACCTGGTCTGATGTAAACTCATTCAGTTCAAGCAAAGGTGAAATCAGCTCACAAATATTTTCTGCCATAAAGGATCCGCGGCGTATGTCTTGTAGTAGAGAAACATCTGAGAGTTGGTAACGCCGAAAAGGCTGCCAACGACATCCTATCATGACCATACCCAAGCAAGCAAAGCAGACCTACATCGCAGAGGCGACTACGCCCATGAAAATAGCGCCATAGGTCTTCTCTATCAAGGCTTGAATGTCAAGGTTGGCCAGCTGCCCAAGAGGAATAGCAGGCATCGCAGAAAGCGAAAGTCGTGAATACCGAGGACGACGTCCTATAAAGGTCTGCGCAAGGGGGGTGTCCACAGCACGGCTGAGACCACGCCATTCCAATATGAGCACCTGAGTTTACGGGTGTGAGGACTCGAAACAGATCATCATCAACTCAGTCCCGGTTAGTAGTGGATTGATGATGCACAAGTGATACTTGGATAGGGTGTGAGCTCATTGCGCATCACCTGAATTTGAAAAATATATATGAGTACCAATGACACTGAGAGTGTGTACTACGACGGCTCTACTAGCATGTCATAGACGCACTATTAACGCACTTGTGTTCCTCTGACGGCCTGTCACGACGGAAAATGTCAAGTAGTCGCATGGCAGAGGTTTCGTTATGTCTTTGATGGGTGGAGGAGTGACCGATCCTGTTTAAAGGTTACCATGTGTTCCCCCGGCTGTAGCGTAGCCTGCTGGAGAGCGGGCATCTCGTTCACCAATTATACCCGCTGGGAAAGACATCAACGACGGCCAAGGAACGATAGGTCCACTAAAGACGACAAAACAGTGCAACTGGTCTGTCATCTCCAAATAGACCTTTCGTCCTTTGACGCTGACAGATGGCAGAGATGGCTGCCCGTCGAGAGATGATGGTGTGGCGGTTGGCCGTCTCAGTTCTGTCACAGCGGCGATTAATCACGTGAAATGCGTGACAGTCGCGCTTGTCACGCGAAAGCACGTCTTGACCGAAACCGCCATCCTCGATACCCCTGTCGGCGCCATGTCGTACAACCACCGCCAGTCCAGTATACCTGTGCCGCCGTCGGCGATGAAGAAGTCTGCCAATGGCATGCGAATGTCGATGGGTGGGCCACCCATGCGCGGGCCAACGGGCACAGGCCCTCGGCCGTCAATATACAGATCTACAAACGTCAACCCACTGTTGCAGAGCGTGTCGAAGGCGGGGATCGGTCGTACACCCATGAAAAGGTACGCTCCATTTTGACTCTTTATACCTCTCGCTGAATCCGAGTGAAGCAGGTATCCGCTTTGCTATTGATACAGCTCGCTATATTGACACCATGATCTAGCAGCGCACGCAGGGGCTCGACATGGATGGGCGCTGCTCCCGGCTCGCAGGGTGCACCACCGATGAGGGATCCGAGGCCACTTCGCGACAAAGCATATCAGTCGAAGATGCGACAAGAAATTCTGGGTTTCCTGCACTCCGTCGGCTACGAGATTTCAAGGGAGGCTCTTGCAAGCATAACAGGAAAGGACTTTCGTGCGATATTCGAGTTTTTGATTGGCCAGCTAGATCCCAACTACCCTTTCGACTCGTTACGGAGGCTGGAGGAGCAGTTCATTCCCGCGCTTAAGTGCATGCAGTACCCGTTTGTCGGAGCGCTGGATCCCAAATGGTTAGCTGCGCCGGCAAGTATGCACTCGTGGCCTTCATTATTGGGAGTTCTACATTGGTTGGTAGAGCTATGTAAAGTCAGTATCGCAATGTTTCACTGTTCCGTTCTTCCTCGTTCTGACAGAGATCAAGGCGAAATGGCATTATACATCCAGCGGAGACCCTACACTCCAAGATCCGAACGATGTTCCTGAACAATTCGATTCAGAAGATCATCATACCGCCCTTGCTTTCCAGTATCTGGACACCACATATCAGCTGTATCTTGAGGGCATGGATACATTCCCTGAACAGGATAAAATTTTGGAGGAGTACTATCGTGAGTTGTTCTTTACTCATTTACTGATATATTGACCAATGATCTTCAGTGAGGAAGAACGCTAAAGTACTTGAGGAACTTAATCATTACAAGGCGCAGTTGCAGGCAATCAAGGACGAGTACGAGAGGCTAAGAGATTCCGCCGTGAGTATCTACCGTATTGGTGGCCCGACCTATTTTCAAAGTTTTCCAGCCTCCATTAGAGAAGCTACTGGTCGACAGTGAATCGGTCAAGCGGGATGAGAAGAAGCTACAAGAAATGTTGCGGCATCGTGAATCGCGTAAAGCAGCCCTCGAAGCATCTATTAAAGATGAAGAAGAGAAGATTAACGCTGGAAGTAAGCCTGCAGTCACTGTCCTCGCATTCATGTTCTCAATATGCATGTATCACAGTCAAGAACCTCGACCGCCTACGGCAAGAAGAGGCACACTACCAGGACGTCCTCCAAGCGCAGAACCTGTCCCCTGAAGAAGTCATGCGCATGAACACCGAGCACGAGAACCTCCAGCGCACGCTCGAAGACCTCCGGCAGAAACTCTCTGAAACGCACAAGACGATCGGCTTCCTTGAGCCGACCGCAACGAACCGCATTGCGGAGGCGGAGGAGAGCCTGGACGCGTACACGAACCTGCTCGACTCGCTCGCGCTCTTCCCGCCGCTCCCGCCGCCGCTGCCGAACGTCGACCTGCGGATGACGCTCAACACGGCTGCTAGCAGCCCCGCGGATATACTGAGGCCGGACGTAAGGATGGTGATAAAGCCGAACTTGAATAGGATTGCGGAGATTAAGATGAAGGAGCGTGCGGCGGTAGAGACGGAGAGAATTGCGGTGGAGGACGCGCTGGATATGGAGGCGGGCGAGTGTGAGGACACCGAGGGTGAGGTTGCGAAGCTGGAGAAGAAGGTGATCGCCCTGAATGATCAGGCGGATAATATTCGAGACGTTCGTAGTTTCCCCTTGGTCAGCCTCGGTATTATATGCTGACATCATTTGCACAGGCCGCGCAACAGGAAGCATTCATCAGTAACGAGGAGGCAACCAGGCTGACAGAGAACCTTGCCCAAGCGAAGGCGGCTGCATACTCGAGCGGTGTCGGAGTCCAGACACGCCTGAAGGGTCTGCAGATCCAGTGAGTACCCTGCACTCATTCAGACTATGTTCTTTTTTCTCACACCTACCTACAGATACGCTGAACAGGTCGAGCGAGTCAACCGACTGAAAGAAGAAACCGTCCGTGTCATCCTCAAGAACTGCAATGATATCGGCGCTTTCAAGCGTGAGGTTGAGAGCCGGCTAAACGCTGTAAAGGTGTATGCGGAGAATAACTGATGACGAGGGGATGGTCTTGTGTATCTTTGGTCGGTGCCCATTCTCTCATTCCTGCAGGCTTTTCGACTTGCTGACTTGCCTCCAGGATCTGCTAGGGTTGTGATCTTGTATGCTATGATGTATTATGAGGTATCATTATTATTCCTTATATCTGGACTCATTGCACACATTGGTGTCAGCGCATGCCTTCCACCCTTGGGCATTTCCTGGATTTTGCAACAGCAGACACAACGCGGATCGCAATCCCAGTATCCCACAGTATCAGATTCGCAGGAGGAATCACATAAAATAACCTATGAAGTACTAGATCTATATTAATCCGTCGAAGTACTGTGCAGTCGCATCTCTAGGCTTGATGGTCGGAGGAGGGATGGGGGCTTTGTCCGTAACCGGTTTTACAGGGATGTAATCGGCGATAATGGATTCAAAGTCATAGGCAGTCGGGGGAGCTGGGTGGACAGTCAGCATAGCAATGTCGAGATGGGAAGGTAAAACGCACCTGCTGCTGAACGAGCCTTGACGGACGCCTGGAGCATATTCGACACGATGAGTCGCCTTAGCGCCGGGCCGTCAAGTGGCTACAAACGCGTGTCAGTCAAAATCTCCTTTCGCTAACAGAACCAGATCATACCTTGACCTCCTCCGCCTTCGCTGACTTCTCCTTGTTGGCCTTCAGCTCCGGCAAGCCCGGCACCTCCTTGTACGTCCCCGTCGGGCTGGACGCCTTGCCGAGGAACGCGAGCACGTCTCCCTTAGTGAGCATCCCGCGCACACCCGTGCCCTTCACCTTGCTGATGTCGACGTCGTTCTCCTGGAGGAGACGCAGCACGGAGGGGAAGAGCGGGCGGGAAGGGTCGAGGGGGATGTGTTTAGCGGGTTTGGGTGCCGGCGGGGGCGCAGAGGGCCCGGGGGTCTTCGCCTCCGCCGCGCTGGGTGGTTGGCTCTGCGCCTGGGGCTTGGGAGGAGGGGGGGAAGATGACTCTTCCTTGGGGGGCTCGAGGTTGGAGATGTCGTCGCCCTCTTCGGCGAGGAGCGCGATGACTTTGCCGACCGGGATGGCTTTTGTGCCGTCTGGTGCGAGAATCTTGCCCATGATGCCCTCGTCTTGGGCCTCTACGTCAATGGTCGCTTTGTCTGTTTCCTTTAGGCGAGCATAATGAGTTTCCTTTGGATTAGGCAAAGACGCGGTGGATGGGAAGACGTACGATTTCGAGAAGGACGTCCCCCGCGGAGAACGAGTCCCCCTCTTTGACCTTCCAGCTAGCAATCCCGCCCTCGGTCATTGTCGGTGACATGGCGGGCATCTGGAAGTTGGTGATCGCTGCGCGCACCGCGCTCGAGTGCAGACCTGTGTGAACCGCGTCAGAAAACGTACATGGTTTGCGGGCAGGAAAGACACATACGTACATCTTCGACGGGATATTTGGCGCGTCGCCTGCAGCAGTGACGAAGCAACTGACATGGTGTTCGACGACGTTGAAGCGGACAGAGTCGCCGCTGACCAAGGTGTGCAAGACGTCGGACACGGAGGTGGCAAGTCGGGGCGGAACGTGGGTATTTGCCACGCGAGCGTGCCGGCGGGATGAGCGCGCCATTTCGCTGGGGTTCTGCGGCCACCACGCAGTGTGGCAGAAACGTCCCTCCGCCGACGGGCAAAGTATCTTTTATTTTGTGGCACCGATGTGCTCGGCGTAGACAAACTCTGCTGCGGGTCGCTGCTGTTCTGTCATGCTCTTGGGCTTGGAATTTTCTGTTTATTTACTTGCGCTTGCTGGACCAACTCGGACCTACAACTCCATATTCAATATCCCCGGGCCATAAACGCTAGCCCTCGGAATTTCGGACAAAGCATGTTTTCTATCGGTCCTACGGCGCTGTACTGGGCGCGCCAGGTCGGGCACCGCTACTTTCACCAGTTTGGAATGTGAGTGTTTGCGGGACTACAGCGCATGTGCTGTTCTGAGTGTGGCATGGGCGCAGACACTGCGCGACACACCAGATCCGGGTCATCCTCATTTCCTGCGTGGTCATTACCTCGCTCTTCTACCCCGCCCTCGCAATCTACTCCTCGTCCCAACCACAGTTCATCGCCCATATTTCTTCGCGCATCCTCGACTCCTTTCGCTCCGTCGAGGGCTCCGGCTACCACACTTACGGCGACATCCGCAACCTCTGGACGGGGCTCGAGTCGCTCAGGATTATCGAAGACCCCGTCGCGAGAGCGCGATGCGGCAATGAGCGCACCCTGCGCGTCGAGCGGGTGCTCGTACACAGTCCGGACGAGGCGGGGGCGTTAGATGTGCAGGTGCTCTTATCAACACTCGCACTAGAGAAACGGATACACGCGCTCCTCCCCGCGCATGGCCTTTCATGCCTGAAGACACCCGACGGGTCGTGCCTCACCATCTCGCCCTCAGCATTCTGGAATCACGACGAGGACCGCATCCGCGCGGACCCCGACGTCCGCGAGACCCTCAGCCTTACGAAGAACACGAGCGTCGCGGGTATACCGGTGCTCCCGCTCATGGTTCTCGCCGGGCGCGAGCTCGACGCCCACACGGCTACCAAGGTTGAGTATGCCGCGGCGCTCGTCCTGACCTACTTCTTCCCTGAGACGGACTGCACGAGCATGTCCGGGCACGCCGCGTTCACGCAGGCTGTTTCCGACGCAGTTGCTGACGGACAGGCGCAAGTAGTTCCGGAGTTCCAGAGCCCCACGCTCATTGCGCTCGAAGTAAGTGTCTTCCTCGCGCAGGGGTCGGCTAGAATGACACTTCTCGCAGCACGACGAAACCACCTCGCGTGTCCGTTCGAACGTCGTATCTATCTTCCTCTACTTCGCATATCTCATCTACCTAGTCTGGTTCGCACGATCGATCAGGCGCGTCGACGCGGTGCACTCCGTCGTCGGTTTGGCATTCACGGGAGTCGTCGAGATGCTCGTCAGTACGATCACCAGTCTTTCCGTGTGCGCAATTGTGGGTTTCAAGGTGACGATGGTCCCATGGTGAGTTCGAAATCATTTGGAAATTTCAGTTTCGTCATGAGTGCGTGTTAGGGCCATGCTGCCGGTCGTGATTCTATTTATCGGTACAGAGAACATGTTCAGTCTTGTATGTCACTGCCCTTTCTAGTTGATGCATTAAGCGACACGTAGGACTAACACTTCACAGGTCGACGCCGTAGCAAAGACATCCATCGCCCTCCCCGTTAAAGAGCGCATCGCGGAGGGACTGAGCAAAGCCGGCACGTCCAATACGCTCAAATCCATCTCGTACAACGCCATCCTCGGCGTCATCGCGTTCTTCGCGCACGGCGTGATCCGGCAATTCTGCGCCTTCGCCGTGGTGGTACTCGTTGCACATTGGTTCCTGGTGCATACGTTCTTCACGACCGTGCTGAGCATCGATATCCAGCGGCTGGAGCTGGACGAGCTGCTCCGGCAGGATTCGAGCCTGGCGCCGAGCGACCCAGCGCGCACTGCGACGCCCGTGATGCATGCGACGACTCGGTGGAGGAAGACGGTCGTTGCGGCGAATAATCTGCTCAAGGGCCGGGCGACGAAGAATTTGAGTCTCGTTTTGGTCGGTCATTCCAGATGGTTGGAAATCGACGTGGATGACTGAATACCCCTTAGCTCCTCGCGGTGACAGCAACACTCTACTACGCGACCTATCCCACCAGCGCGCGCGAAGAACCCGCGCTGGGCTTCCCGCACGCGCAGAACCGTGCCAAGGCCGTTGCACACACCAAACCGGACACGCACTCCCCCGCCTCCAACATATGGCACATGCTCAACCCCGCGGGCGACCCGCTGGTGCACCTGCGCATCGAGTCGCCCACAATCGTCGTCCTCACGCCCGACGGCACGCCCGAGCCCCGCCCGCGCCCCTCCGCCTCCCGGCCGGTCGTCTGGCTGCTCAAGATCGTCGTCGTGCCCATCGCGGCGACGACGGGCGCGCTGTACGGGCTGCTGTTGTACCTGCTTAAGGACGCGGAGCTGCTCGAGGCGCAGCGCAACCGCGTCGGGCCCGAGGTGGACGAGGGGAAGCGCGAGGACGAGGGCCTCGCGGATGTCGATGCGAGCTTTGGGGCCCTGCCGCGGGCGTTCGAGTCGGATGTGGAGTTGCTCGCGGCGAGTAGGGACGGGCGGATCGTCGTGGCTGTTGGGCTGGATAATAGCGTTGCGGTGTGGCATCCCGAGAGGGAGGGCGCGGTGTGCTTTGATAAGGCCGAGGATGCGTGCTCGAGCAGTTCGGTGCATGCGGTGACGGCGCTGGCTGTTGATGAACACGGGGAGTATTGCGCAGTGGGGACTGGGAGTGGGGAAGTGAGCGTTTGGTCGATCCGAAAAGGGGCGCCTGCGTCGCTGCCAACGTTCGCGGGGGAGACACCGGCGGCAGGTGTCACAGAGCTCCACTTCCTCACGAATCCCAGTAGACCCGGTGGGAGGCCTGGTAATGGGCAGCATCCACCGTGCTTGGTCGTCATCCATGAGAGCAGGGTGGCGATGAAGTGGGTCTGGGATCAAGATATGCGGCCTCACGCGGTGCAGATTCCGACCTCCGGCCATGCTGCTGTCGTGAAGATCATGTATATCGCCTTGCCTTCACGCGACACGTCCGTTGTATGTTTCTGCTTGGAAGACGGGATACTGGAGCTGCACGATCTGTCGCCCTTCGAGTCTTTGCCAAAATTACTCGCTTCGTTGTCTGCGGGGAATCCTGAAGACACTGTCGTCCAAGTACATGCTCTCTCCCTGGATATCGGCGGACAGAACAGACTCATCGTCGCTGCCGGGACGTATGCGGGAGTGGTCTCTGTTTGGGACGCCTCGGGCGGCGAATGCATCTGCGTGCTGGACGATGTGTACGGCGACATAAGCAAGCTACGGATGACAACCGTCCCTCGAAAGACGTGTCCGCTTTGTGGAGAACTCCCGCCCGAGAACTTCTCCCTGTCGGTATCGGTAGGCCATCTGATTGTATTCCACCGCATATATGCGTCTGTCGAAGAAGGAAGGCGATGTTCATGTCCGCGCACACCTGGGCCGCAAACCTCTTCAAGACATACTCTGCTGGGCAGGCGCTCTCGGAGTAGCAGCCAAACGTCCATTGTAAGTTTGTCCTCCCCGAACACGATGCGCCAACGCCTGCCGTCAATGAGCGAGGATGCTTTGTTCCCCGTCTCCGGGCACGGCCACCACTCACGAAGGTCTTCCGAGAAGGATATGCTCCGACGCGCCCCGGAGACTCTTGCTGTTCCCCTTGACGGCGCGGAAAACGGGGCTGCGCATAATATCGGGCCGGCAGAGTGCCCTCAGACCAGACTGGAGTGCCAGAAGTCGCGGTACTGGCAGCAAGCGGTGGTCACGAGGACGAGTGACACGACGTGCGAGAGGGGAGGGTGGGATGTGGCGGATGGGAACGTCGTTGGTGTGCGGCGGAAACCGCGGTCGGCCGCGAACCCGAAGGACAAGCGACATGACCCGGCCGGCGCGAAGACACGCTCTGGGTTGTCTCCGGCGACTCTTGACAGATGGGAGTTCTGGTTGTTTGAGCCGTCGTCCGCGCTCCTGCGGGTCTCGCCTTTGTCCGCGCTCGAGCGCCACGGTAGTGCTGAAGGGGACGGTCAAGGGTCGCCGGGGAAGCAGCCGTCATGTTTGCCTTTCACGCGCGTATCTCCTGTTGTAGGGGGTCGGACGTTTTGTTTAGCTGGGTTTGGGAATACGGTTGGTCTCTTCAACCTGGCTCCTGGCAGCGCCTAAGATTGCTCGTGCTTTGCTCTGAGTTATATATGTATCAATATCATGACTGGGATAAGTAAATGCTAGATTGTATCTATCTAACAATGTACTCACAGGTAGGATAATCGTTACTCACAAAGACCTGTAAATGCTTCCTTAGAATTTCTGGCTTGAAATTGAATCCGACATATCGATCTAAGCATCCCCTGGGCCTCATTGTGGCATTCGACCATCTCGGCAACCCCGGATCGGAGTGTTCGGGTTGAGCCACCGGCATCTGCGCGCCTTGCATTTGCCACAGCCACCCTGCAAGCTGCCACACCGCTGAGCTTGAGGGAGTGCCCGCTGCCTGTTCATGGACTCGCTTTGCATTTGACGACATTAATAACAGTTGTTTACGACAAAGTGCCAGTGGACTGAAACTCGAACGATCTGTCACTGCCATGACTAGCACTGTCAAGAGCTCCGTGACCCTTGTACTCCCTAAGGTGTTCGGATCTTAGTTAGGAACTCGTGGGCGACTGACTGAACTCTGTATGGAACAGCCGCCTAGGATAAAGCGACAACACTTGAGGAAGGCATGCTTGGAAAGGTGTACTTGTAAATTGCCCCAGATGACACGTTTCGCAGTACTCCTGGCTCCCTGATGTATTCCGAATCGAAGGGAGTGTACGTCCCACTATCGAGTCGCCGTATTGCAAGTGGATTGTGCTAACTGAGACCTAGATCATCACAAGGATTATCGGACCAGTCTTGACAGTCACGATATTCGCGACCCTCATTGCATATCTATTCAAGCGCGGATACGACGTTACTCTGACCAACTCGGTGGTCCCTGTCGTCGCTGTCGTAGTATGTTAAGGTTGAGTAAAGGCATTCTCTGTCAAGCCCTGACGTGTCTTTGCTTAGGTGGGTCTGATTCTCGTATTCAGGTGAGGTCTTGTCCCAGTACTAGGACAAGTTGACCGCGAAGCTCAGAGGTATGAACGTGTAGAAACGGGTACGTGGTTTAGTCCATGTGAAAGTGATACGCAGCTAAAGAGAAGTCACGCAGAACTTCCTATGACCGGTTCTACGAGGGCCGGAAGGATTTCGCGACCATGACCAGCCAGGTATGCTTACCCCTACTCATAAGGCCCTCTCACGCAACCCATCTAGATTCGCAATCTCTCCCGGCTCGTCTGGGTTAACGTCTCAGTCCCGCCTCCCGACTACATCAACACCACCAAGGGCAAGACGCCGCACGTCGCGCTGACCGCGGCGCAGCTCCGGCGCAAGAAAATTGACGTGCTAAAGCTAGCCCTGAGCTTCGCCTACGCCGTCAAGCACTACCTGCGCGACGAGGACGGTATTCACTGGGAGGATTACTCGGGAGTGCTCCCCGCGAGCTTCGCGCGGTACGACGAGACGGGGTACACGCACGCGAACAACTCGTACGCCTCTCTCGAGACGTCCCTCAGCGCGTCGATGTCACCCACCAGCCCCATTACCCCGGCGACGTCGAAGCCGGGTACGATGCGCCAGGGGAGATCGGACGCGACGAAGCGCGTAAGGCCGAAACGGAAGGACGGGAAGGTGACCCCGAAGACACCGCTGCTGGCCGAGGCGCACCAGACGGTCGAGTTCCACGCGTACGCGGACGAGGCGTCGTTACCGCTCCCCCTGGTAATTGCGCACGAGATTGGAAGGGCGGTGTTTAGGTTCAAGAGGGATGGGTATCTGGAGACCGTCGGCCCTGCCGGTACGAATGCGTTGAATCAGCTGTAAGGCATCTTAATTTGAAGTGGTGCTTGCGGAGGCTGACACACGGACTGCAGGTTGCAAGGCATGGTAGACCAGATGACGGCTATGGAACGCGTTGCGAACACGCCAATCCCAGTATCGTGTATGCTTTCGCTCTTTGTTTCATTTAATCATACTGAAGCTTGATCCTCTGATAGACCGCATACATCTGAAGCAGGCGGTGACGTTATACCTCTTCGCCTTACCCTTCACGTTGATCAAAGAACTCGGCTGGAGCATGATACCCATAGTGACCGTCGTAGCCTTCACGTTCATGGGTATTGAAGGCATAGCGGATGAGATTGAGAACCCTTTCGGTAAGTCTCTATAGCAGAACCCAACCTGTAAATATTGACGGATACTGCTGCAGGCCATGACAAGTCTGACTTGCCGCTGGACAGATACTGCGCTGACCTAAAAGAAGAGATTGAGTGCGTCGGAATCGAAGAAGCCGTCGAGTCAGACTTTCTAACCCATCCACTAGTTATATCATCGAGAGACTCCCTGAAGGGGGCGAAGGCATGTTTGGGTTCGACGATGGAGAAGGGGATGATTGAAAATCACACGATGAATGTCTGGCTTGCTTTGCGCTTTCCTGCTATATGTTTCGCATCATCTCTCACCTGCATCCATTTGCTGTCGCACGCTCTGCAATGCAATCGAAACTCGTGAATTATAATGCTGAGTGTCTACCGGAACTCCTCTACGCAAAACTCTCCAGGACCGTAGGGCTATTACATACCATTAAACAACCGTATCCGCTGAGAGGTGAAGCTCTTGACGTACCTTGCTTGTCAACGCCGTTAACCCAGCCGAGTTCTCGCTGGTATGCCGACCGCTCTGAGGACCCGGCTTTGGCTTCTCGCCCCTGGCGAAAGCGTCCAGCACCTTCTTCGTAGTCGCTGGTGTCAGGTCCTCCTACATGCATCCCGCCAGGATAAGCAGCCATGACGCTGTGCGGGAGATAGGTAAGCACGCACGTAGAAGTCATCACCAACTACCATCATTGGGGCATTACTGCAAGCACCCTGGCACTCCACCTCGATGACCGTGAACTTCCCGTCCTTGGTAGTCTCACCCGGCTTGATCCCGCCCAGCTCCTTGCACACCGTGTCCAGGATCTCGTACGCGCCGTTCAGCATACACGGCGTCGTCGTGCACACCTGCACAAAGTTCGCGCCGATTGGTTCTCTGCGACGTGTCAGCAGCGACATTAGGCTAGCCAGATGGTTCCCGCTCACCTGTTGAACATAGTGTAGAAGGTGGCGACCTCGTAGACACGCATGGGGGGCAGCTCGAGGAACTTGGCGACGTAGTTCATGACACTGATACTCGTCCAGCCCTTGTTCTGACGCTGAGCGAGGTCGAGTAGGGGAATGACGGCGGCTTTCTTGTACTGCGGGGGGTAGTGCGAGATGATCTCTTCTGCTCGCTTAAGGTTCTCCGAGGTGAATTCGAAGGGGATCTTTGGGAAGAGCCCTAGGTTGGATGTAATTTGCCGGAAGAACAGAGGCACGTACCTTGGGATTGTTGTATGGCGTATCCCGATGCTATTTCCCCTTAGTATACACAACGTCCCCGCAAAGACCGCATGACATACCACGAAGAGCGCATCCGACCTTCTGCAGGGCGTCGAGGATATCCGCCTGAACGCTGCCGCCCGCGCAACCTGGAGCACTCGCTTGGGTAATCGCGAAGCAAACATGATGGCAGCGAGCAGACAGACGTTGGTTGTAACTTGTAACTGCAAGTGTCCCCGGGAGACTTCGTTTAGCTGCTCTGCGATTGGCCAGACATCCACGTGGCATAAGTTTCTCAATCTGGACACGGGTTCGCCCGTTTCCCACGCTCCGCCGTTTGCGGGCAATGTTCCGCCGGCGCTCCAGTTGGGAGAACACTTCCCTAGCTATAGGATGATCTTTGCTGGACATGGAGAATGACCTTCGAATGAACAAAGGCAGGTCCGCGGGACATTCACTCTTGTCTCTAAAAATTAGGGGAAATTCTATTCACATTGTTCTTTATACCAAGTCCCGCATTGGAGCATGCAAGGAAAGTGTTCTCCCACCTATCTCATGAACAAATGCCCGGTAGCAGGACATTGGTGCTTGCCCGCTGTGGAAGGTCCGCATCCTCTTACTTGGTGGACGTGCGTCTAGAAGGCCCTGACAAGTGTGGATAATCAATTGAGTGTAACATCACAATAGGCAAGGAGGGTGTTATGGGGTATCCATGCCTGTTGGATGACCTGGAAGATATTCATGGGACATTGATCAAATATTAACCCTTCTAATGGCAGGCTGCTCTTCCTCAACTTGTTCAGACATTCAGCCTCTCCGTATTGACGCCCTTTGCCGGATCTATAGGGCATTGCTGTCCTAACCTTCGTCATCGTTTAAAACCACCTCTCCGCTGTGACTGAGCAGGCACTGTTGTGAAAATTGGAAGCACTGCAACAGTTCTCATGCACTCACGTATAATTACAGGAAACTATGATACATCAGTTATACTCAAGGCAAAGTGTTTAGAAATCATATCTATCACCGACATCTATATCCCCTCCAAATCCACCCACTTCTGGGGACATAGGCCTCCACTCGCTGACCTCCTCAACACCTGCTTCCCCGTAGGACGGTGTCTCCTCGCCCGAATCAGCCAACAGGGCGTCCAGCCGCTCCATATCGATCCTCTTCGTCCCCTGGACTTCGCCGTCCGCGCGGCGTTTCTTGCGGACGTCTTCTGCACCACACTGGTCTCCGTCTTCGTCGTCCGAATCGATGATCATGCGCCTCGCGACCTCTACCTCCTCTTCAGTTCTCATAAACCCCTCTAGCTCGCCGTCCTCGAACAGCTCTTCATCCCCCACATCCTCCTCACCTCCTCTTTCGATTGCGAGGATCTGCAACCTCGTTGGCGCTGCGCTTAGAGACGATACGTGAGCAGTCAATAGATGCGCCGGCGAGAACGTATCCGGAACGCCGAGTGTCGCACGAGCGTTCGAGGCTATCCCTGCCCCTGACGAGCCAGGCAAAGGCGGCACAGAAGTTGAGAGGGGATTGAGCAGGTACTGCGAAGCCTGCGTCACCTTGCGGCTGCCCCGCTTCCTCTTCCTCGATGTCGCAGCGCTATCCACCGAGCTCAACGACCTCGCACTGCCCTCACTCCCCGTCGACGACGCCCCAACGCTCTCCGCCTCGTCCCCGCTCCACGCTCCCGAATCTTCATCTTCCTCCAGCTCCAGCTGCGGCCTCTCCGGCACCGCCCCGCCTTTCCATATGTCTTCCCAGAACCTCAGCACGTCTTTCAATCCCTGCACCACGACGGTGGCCTTGGGGACTTTACTCCGCCCGCCACTGCGCTTTTCGTGTTTCGTAAGCCAGGGGACGCTCTCCACGCCCGTGAGCACTGCTTCCGCGATCAACTTGTACCGCTGCATCACTGCAGCTTTGCCCGCGCCTACCCGGACGCCTAGTTTATCTGCCAGGACGGAGTGTTGTGGGAGCGGGCGCTGGAGTTCGCCTTCGAGGGAGAGAATTAGTGCGGCGACTGCTGTGGGTGGGTTGGGGAGGGAGGCGAGGGAGGAGAGGGTTGTAGGGGAAGGGTTGAGGGTATCGACAGATGAGGGGTATATAAGAGAGCAAATGGAAGTTGCTGTTCTGATTATGCTGGTCAGGTTAGGTATTAAGGGCGTGATAGCCTCTATGAGATTGGCGGGTAGAGCAGTGGAAGTTGTAGCAGTCGATGACGAAGCGGAACCCGGCGGGCATTGGAGAAGTGACAAAAGGTGAGTCTGGAGAACGGGGAGGTAGTGCGTCGGATCGGAGGGGGCAATGGGGAGGTTCAGGGTGCGAGAGATGTGAACGAAAGAACGAGCCACAGAAGCATGCGGCTCGTCAATGAGATACTGAAAAGAGTGTATCAGCATCTATTCCTCACTCACGCATAAGAGCCACTGCAGCGGACGATAGGCCTAGACGAGGTGAACGGACCATAGCACTCTGACGGACCTCTCACAACGCCAATCTCCCTTCTACTCATTGGCCCTCGTCATGCGAGCGAACACCTAGCTCCGGGGTTACTCATGAGAACTAATCAAGACGCTATGTCGTCTATCATCCTAGTTCCTTGATAACAAAGAAAAGGTAAATAATCTGAGGACGTCTAGGGCTATCGCCAGATGCACTGCGCCAAAGGCAATACTTACCGAGATGTCACGTAACGAATCCGCTTTGTTTGATTCTCTGAGAGCAATAGCCAAAGAAGCCCCCGCGAGGCACTTGGCCTTGTGACCCCAGCGAAACTTCGGTGTTTTTCCTCGCGCCTGGTTGAACAGTGTGAGGGCGCGCGGAACTAGTCCGGGGTGTCCCAGCGAGCCAGCAACGGAATGCACGAACTTCTGCATTGCAACCTGCGAACACGGACGGCCATTCAGTTCACGTCAGGGAGGTCCGAGGGAGATACTCACCATGTTTCGGTTCTCGCGCACTTCTTTGGTGCTACCGGCTATGTTCCAACCGTTCTTGTTCCGCAGAGACCTGAGAGCGTCCGTGTTGACATTAGACAAGGGAAAGTCGCGCGTCGAGTCGCCATTCCGGGCAAAGTCAAAGTGCGATGCGAGCACAGACTGGCTTGGGTCTTCGAGGGTGCCGCACGACGTACATATGTTCGAGCCGACCTCGGCGTCGAAGATGGTCTTCGAGTCGCATGCCTTGCAGCGTCCGGCCGCCATTGTCTACCGGTTTGGCATCGCGAGAGTCGATGTTGGAAAGAGACGCGACGCAGTTGGAAATCGTTATACAGGGTGCCACAGCCGTGGGAATTGGTACGGGTACCCCGACCACTGCCCTTTTCATTTGCACTTTGTGAACCTTGTCCTCCTCCATCGTCTCCCATGCCAATATCGAACGCGTTCATTTCCTGAGTTCTGCTTTATGAACGAACATCTAGATTTTTTCGAAGTCGTTCTACGCGTCTTGGGCGGAGCCAGGCGCACACTCCTGCGGATATATCGTCGGCCATCGACCCGAGCTCCAGGCCTGACAACACGTTGAGAGTCATCAGGTACATGGTAGGCTATCGTGACCGGTTATGCTGTCATACACGAAATTCTATCTCCAAAGGACTGTCTGGACGGGAAAGCGAGACCGCTATACATGGAGGTCTCTTCCAAAGCCGGAGCCATACGCGCTCCAGAATTGGCGTGCGAGACTGGCTGGTGGATCATGTCAAGACACGCTGCGGGCATCGCAATTGGGTTCGGGATCTGTCCCTAAGCATCCTGAGAACAGGACTCGTCGCCGCTCTGCGGATCCTTTAAAAGACGCCCAGTGCCATTAATCTTCCTGCCTCCCTCCTAGCCTGCCCACTCCCGTTGAAACAGCCGAAGAACGATGTCGCCTACCCAGCACTTCCAGTCGAAGCCCCCCGACTCGTACAGGAGGCGGCTTTCGAGCGTGATATCGAGGAGGCGGCCCAATGTGCCCCAGTTCTCTTCGCTCCAGGTAAGGAGACTGCCATGACCTTGCGCAACCAGTGGTAACAATATATCCAGGCGATGTGGGCGGGTATCGCAGGGGGAGTGGTGAATAACAACACGCAGTTCGAGATCGCGATATCTATCCACGACTCGGTTTATGCTACTGATTATGCCTCTATGCAAATCCCGTACTCACCGAACGGAGATAATGGCGATAAAATCGAGCAGCAAATCCTCTCTACACTCAGGAAGTTCTCTGCTGACCATCTGTGCAAGTTCCTCGGCGCGGGTGTCACTCTGTCGCTGCTCAAGGAGGTATGGCTTCCGTCTCCCGATCACTTTCCGATCTCATGATCGGCTGGCAGGCCCCGAACCTTTGCACCCGCCTGTGGTTGACTCTGGATATAGTGCCCATAGTATTCAATATCAAGCCTTACCACACTGACTCCGTGACCCGGCCGAACATTAAGCACCGCTTATACTCCCAAACTGGCTCCTTTGCGCCCTCTGGTGCCGACACCCCCACTGTCTACGTCGACCCCACTCCCTTGGCCAAAAACAATGTGCTCGCGCCGGGCACCGCTGCCAACCTCGGTACCCCCACGACCAAGGGTCTACCCATCCCCCGCACTATGGACGAACAGGCGGACTCGGCCGCCCGCAAATGTATCATGTACTTCGGCCCGGGTAACAACCCCAGACTGAGCATCGGGCCCCGCAACCAAGTGCTCGTAGACTCGGCTGGGAAGATCCACCTCATCGACGATTTGGACGAGTACCGCAAGACCGTCAGCTCGGGGACGTGGAATGCCGTGAACAAACTCGCGGACGAGCTGAGGGAGAAGAAAATCAAGATCGGCTTCTTTTCCAGTACGCCCCAAGGCGGTGAGTACCTTTCCCCGCATTGTCTCTTTGGTCCCGCGTATCCTCGCGGCGATTGATCGGCTCCTCCCATTTTGCTAATGGGTTTAATACGATTGAACAGGTGGTGTCGCTCTCGTGAGTACATTTCCTGGTGTTATAGTGCCGATCGGCAGAGATGAAACTGACCGGTTTGTACTAGATGCGACACGCGCTTATCAGGTTTTTAACTCTCCTTGACGTCGATGCTTCTTGGTGAGTTTCTTACCCCGCACTTCTCGGCTCTCACCGTGCCTTCCCCGCATCCCTCGCGTTATCTTCCATCTTTCTTCATATCGCATTCACTTGGGGTCCTTGCTGTTTACTTTTATCCGGAACCCTCGATCCGGACTTTTTACTGCGTCTACTTAATGTTCACACGATGTATGTGTGCGCAGGTATGTTCCGAACCCGTCGCCGTCCGTATTCCGGACGACGAAGAACAACCACAATATCCTTCAGGGCGTCGCAGCCCCAAGCCTTCGTCTGACCCAGGACCAGAAGGACAATTTCGATGCCTGGATCCAAAAGAACGGGCTGAGGTGGACGGCAGAAGGAGGCCCGCTCGCGCAGGGCGGCGTGGACATTGCCTTTATCGGTACGTTGCATTCACAGTCCAATGATTACATTGGTCTTGGCTTACACGAATTGCACCGTAGATGATCCCCAGATGCCGGGTTTGATTCCTCTGATTAAGCAAGTTCGCCCGGATATGCCCATCATTTACAGGTCGCATATTGAGATCCGTAGCGACTTGGTGCATGTCAAGGGTTCCCCGCAGGAAGAGGTGTGGAACTACCTATGGAAGAATATCCAGCTAGCCGATATGTTCATTAGTGAGCGACACCCTCCCACGTTTTTGCGTTCATAGCTGACTATGTCGCCTCAGGCCATCCCGTCAAGAAGTTCGTTCCCAGCGATGTGCCCACAGAGAAGCTCGCCTTCCTTGGCGCCGCGACCGACTGGTAAGGGCAAATTGGTTGAGACCTTGGATAGTCATATTCATCTGTACCCTTTTAAGGCTGGATGGCTTGAACAAGCCCCTCGACACGTGGGACTCCCAGTACTATATGGGCGAATTCCGCTCCCTCTGTGTGCGCGAAAAGATGCACGAGTTGAAGTGGCCCGCGCGCGAGTACGTTGTACAGATTGCGCGCTTCGACCCGTCAAAGGGTATCCCCAACGTCATCGACTCGTATGCGAAATTCCGTAAGATGCTCGCCGAAAAGACCGAGTTGGAAGAGGACATCATGCCCCAACTGTTGATCTGCGGTCACGGCGCGGTCGACGATCCTGATGCCAGTATCATCTATGACCAGGTCACCGGGCTTATCCACTCGCAGTACTCCCAATACTCGAACGATATCATCGTCATGAGACTGCCGCCCAGTGATCAACGTAAGTGGCTAACCTTGACCACCTGCCACTGTCTTAAATATCTGACCTTGTGGCAGTTCTGAACGCTTTGATGGACAACGCGAAGATCGCTTTGCAGCTGTCCACCCGTGAAGGCTTCGAAGTGAAGGTCTCCGAGGCCCTGCACACCGGCAAGCCCGTTGTCGCCTCTCGCACCGGCGGTATTCCCCTGCAGATCGAGCACGGCAAGAGCGGCTACCTGGTCGAAGTCGGCGACAACGAGACCGTCGCCAAGCACCTCTTCGACTTGTACACCGACGAGAAGCTGTACGACACCATGAGCGAGTACGCGAGGACCCACGTCAGTGATGAGGTGGGCACCGTCGGGAACGCCGCGGCGTGGCTCTACTTGGCTATGATGTACTGCTCTCGTGGCGAGAAGGTGAAGCCGAATGGGGCGTGGCTCAACGACTTGATGAGGGAGGTTACGGGTGAGCCTTATGCGCCTGATGAGCCGAAGTTGCCCCGTGTCGTGAACTGAGGGGTCGAGTGCCATCGAATATGAGCTGGTGTTCGGTCCTAGAGGAATCTAGAAATCATACCATCAGAAGTGTCCTTGCATTGTAAACTGCTCTCTTGTTCAAGTTGTAGAAAATCTGTACCTTGTGGTTGGTTGGATGTGGAATTGTACACTAGAAATAAAGAGTTGTTTCCCCGCTTATTGCTTCGTTGCTAGAAATACTTCTACTTAGTAGAGACAGTGCTCCTAGTCCAAACAGGTTGAGGTTACCCTCGCGTTGGGCCGGCAACACGTCGCACGCCTGACCTGAAGCACAAGCGCGTATGGTCCGGTCACTGATCATGACCTTCGCAAGGTCGGTTCTGCGGCAAGAGTGGTTATCTGTCAAATCATGCGTCTCCACTATCAGTACAAAAGCGTACATGGGACATCACATCGATGGCCCAGTCATGCACCTTATAAGACGGAGTTATCGTGATCAGGTGTTTCCTACTAGTAGACGCGTCGACGCGACTAGGATCCAAAGCCTCAGGTCGCATTCACGGTTCTGTTCTACTCTTCCAGACGTATCTTTAGGTGCGATGGCTAATACAGGAGCCAATGCGGGGAATTACCGTCTTCCGACGAACGTGAGACCGACGCACTACGACATCACTGTCCGGACGGACCTCGAGAAGCTCGCCTTTGACGGTTTCGTATCCATCGAGTGGGTTGTCTTCAACCACTATAGGTGTAGAACTAATGACCAACGATATATGGGCTTCTAGCTTGGATGTCGTGGAAGAGACATCCTCCATTGTCCTAAACTCGGCCCACACCCAACTTGGAGAAGCATCCGTTTACTCTGAAGCGTTACGGACGGAACAGATCCAGGCCTCCGCGAATGTAGACTCCACGACAGAGCGTCTTACTGTGCGATTTGGCACGCCGTTACCGGCGGGCTCCAAAGCTCAACTGCGGATCGGCTTTACCGGTGAACTCGATGGAAGCATGGCTGGTTACTACAGGTCCAAATGGACAGGCCAAGGCAAAACACAATACTATGCGTTGACGCAGTTCGAGGTTCTTATTTTGTAGTCTCCGGCAATTGCACGATGATCCTGACGCCTTCCCGTGTTTGCATTGCAGCCCACAGCCGCTCGGAAAGCATTCCCTTGCTGGGATGAGCCCCTGCTGAAAGCCACGTTTGCTGTCACTATGATCTCCCGCACTGACACCGTCAACCTGAGCAATATGCCTGCTATCTCGGAGGAGTTATACGTTCCCGGTGCATTCGCAGACTCAATGAAGAAGTCTCCTGCTCTGGCCAAGTTCCTCGCTTCTCTGGGTACCGGAGACCAAGCAGACAAGTGGAAAATCACACGTTTCGACACTACTCCAATCGTGAGTCGCTGGAAACTGCCTTCGCTGGTCGGTTTTGCTAAGGTTGGTCTTGGTGCAGATGTCAACATATATTGTTGGGTTTGCCAACGGACACTTCGAGTACCTGGAGAGCTCGTATACAAGTCCTCTGAGCGGGAAGACGCGACCACTACGAATCTATAGTATGTCGGACGCATTTCCTTGTGGTTTATACTCGCTGATCGGCCATGTCAATGTACTATTCTCGCAGGTACCAAGGACTGCATTCATCAGACGCAATTTGCCCTCGACGTCAAAGCAAAAGCGCTGCCACTATATGAACAAATGTTCCAGGTGGAGTATCCACTGCCCAAATTGGACACCTTAGTCGCTAGCGACTTTGACGCCGGTAGGTGTCCCGATGTATCATGGGGAATGTAGCTAATATATCTGCAATAGGTGCTATGGAGAACTGGGTATGTTCAGTGTGGCTGGCGTAACAGCAATATGGTCATGCATGGACATCTGACGTGTCTTACAGGGTCTGATCACTGGAAGGACTTCCGCTTTCTTGGTGGACCCTGACAAGGCCGATCTGCAAGCGAAACTGAACGTTGTAGACACTCAGTGTCACGAAGTGGCCCATATGTGGTACGTACCATGTAGCACACCTTCATTTGTTGCGAGAAGTGAAGGCAATGAAGGTTCGGAAACATAACGACTATGGAGTGGTGGGACAATCTGTACCTCAAGGAGGGTAAGGATGGTCTCTCGCTACTATAAGACTATGTTCTGACAACACACACGATTAGGCTTCGCGACTCTGGCAAGTTGATTCTCTCTGCCACCCCCCTGTAGCCACTTACTGGTGTATATTGCAGATGGGAGAAGTCATCCTTCCAAGTACGTATACGTTGGTTCCCGACAGAGCGGGATCTGATTAATCACGATTCATTCTAGACAAGTGCGCTGTCCCATTGCACTGCAAAGGAGGGTTCTTCTGACAATAAGAGCAGGATTTGGCCGGAGTGGAAGATGGAATCGCGCTTCATCAATGTCCACCTGGTTCGCGCTCTGAATTTGGATGCAAAGCTGTCTTCACATCCCATTGAAGTGGAGTGCCCCGATGCAAACAAAATCAATCAGGTACGTGAACTCATTTCGGTAGATATCGCACCATTGAGTTAGGCTTATGCGATCATTAGATATTTGACTCGCTGTCATACTCCAAAGCTGCATCAGGTGAGACATGCGAATGTCTTCGAACACTCGAATTTCTTAGAACACTCTACTAGTCCTCCGCATGCTAGCGAGTTACATGGGCGAAGATCGCTTCTTGAAAGGAATTTCCTTATACCTCAAGAAGCATTTATATGGTAATACCGTGACGAAAGACTTGTGGGAAGGAATCGCTGAGGCGACTGGTAAGCGCGTACGGTATAGTAACCGAGTTATGATTCTGAAGCCCGTTAGGCGTCGACGTCCCGAAGGTCATGGATAACTGGGTGTCAAAGGTAACGTACCGACCTTCTAGTTGATTGCAGGTCTAAAGGCAGCGTTCAGATGGGTTTCCCGGTCATCACCGTGTCTGAAACAGAGAAGGGTATCCATGTCCGCCAAGACCGCTTCCTAGCATCAGGTCCTGCGGAGCCCAAGGACAACGAGACCATTTGGTGAGGATGTCCTCTGGCTGTGATGTGCTGAGGCTGACGTCGAGGGGAATCATAGGACTGTTCCCCTTCAGGTCGTCTCTGTAAATGAGCATGGTCAAGCCGTTATAAACAGAGACGCAGTCTTGGATGTGCGGGAGAGGACCATTCCTTTTGATACCAACAAGCCTTTCAAACTCAACGCGCACAACACAGGTGTCTGTGAGTTATCGGATAGAAAAACTGCTCGCCCCGTCCACCGACATGTGTCGCTTTTCAGATCGAGTTCTCTACTCTCCGGAGCGCCTCGCCAAGATAGCTTCGGAGGCGGCCAAGGAGAACTCATTATTCTCTCTCAGCGACAGGATGGGCTTGATTCACGATGCTATAGCACTCTCCAAGGCCGGTTTTGCGAAGATTAGCAGTGCTCTCACACTGATGGACATACTGAGAAAGGAGAAAGAGTGTGAGCAATCTAGTGTGGTGATACCTGCGCGTATTACTTTCTGACGTCACCGAAAGTCCTCGTCCGTGATAGCATAGCTGATAATCTTTCTGACCTGCGAAAGATCTGGTTTGAGCATCCTGAGATCAGGGATCCCTTGGCTCAATTCGCCCGTGTAGGTGCATTTGAGACCGTTCGAAATCTAATGATCATAATGCAGCATTCTAGGAACTTTATATGCCACTAGTGGACCAACTGGGCTTCGAATACGCTCCGGATGACTCGCCCGATGTCGTCTCACTACGTACGACGGCCATACGTATGGCCAGCGTCGGAGAAGACCCTAAGTATGTGGCGTGTAACGACTGTCCGTTCGTCTTGTGTTCAGGTCTCTTCCCAGAGTCATCCAGGAATTGAAGGGTCGTTTCAAGCACTTCGTGGAAACTGGCGACGACTCGAAGATACCGGCTGACCTTCTCAGAACTACCTTCTCTGTGGTGAGTGAGGGATGCAGCGGGAAAGGAAGTTGGATGTAACATTGGTTATAGGCGGTGCGTCATGGTGGTCGTGCAGAATTCGACGCAATGAAGCATATCCTTGGTCAGCCCAAGACCCCGACACATGCTATTGCTGCTATGTAAGATCTTCCCAATACCGCCTCGTTGTCCCGCCTCACTCTGCCTAACTCCCACTAGGGTTGCCATGGGCGCTACTCGCGACTTAGAGTTAGCGAAAGAGACCCTGGACTACATGATGACACAGGCGCGGGACCAAGACGTCATGTACTTCGTCGCGTCTCTGGGTGCGAATGAGAAGTCGAGACGGCTTATGGCGAGCTTCTTCAAAGAACACTTTTGGGATGTGAGTGCATTGCTTCTTTAGTGATACTACAGCTGAGCACGACATGGACTCGGCAGTTATACAAACGGTTTGAAGGGAACTTCACACTGACGTCCCTGCTCAGGGTGAGTACTACCGCGACTGCACAAAAAATTTAACTAACTGCAATACACAACGATCAGCTGTCTCTTGCATCTCTCACAACTCAGCGTGATTATGATGAGACGGTGGACTTCTTCAAGGTCCATATCTCCATCGACTTCGCGATATCAAGCTTGAAGCTAATGCTGCTCCGATTGTAGCATAAAGACACCTCCAGATATCATCTCGCATACTTGCAGGCTCTCGATAGCATAAAGGATAATATTGCTGTTATTGAGGTACGTCACTGCTTTCTGTCATGCTGCGTGTTGATGACATCGCCCCTTAGCGTTCGACTTCTGACGTTGCACAATGGTTGGAAAGTAGGAAGAAGGACTGAGAAATGGGATTCTTCGCGCAGGTAGGGGCTGCTCCGCTATCATCGCTTGTGCAGGCGGCTGAGAGCCAGATGTAAATGCCCCTGCTGTGAGCCGCACAGAATAACTTTAGTCGTGGGCCAGCCTCCCGATCGCGCAATGCGTGCTTCGCAGGTCGCACTGTCACCAAGATAATTGATTGCTGCTTATGATATACTTACATCCCAAACATAGCGTTCTGCAATCCTAACCGGACGAGAGCCCTACGTGACGCCTTCACGCACCAGCCGTGGGTGCTAAGCAGTACGAGACAGTCGGCTGGTCATACCAAACGGTACCGTTGAGGGTCGGAGTCTCAGTGAGAATGTAATCGGTGGCGAAACTTCCCGCCGCCCATCCCGAGTAGCCCAAGATAACTGAAGTAACGGATCAACAAAAAGACTGATCGAGAATGATGCATGAGGACGTACCGTCAGCAACGGTCCTCTGGTAAGCAACTTGCTGACACAAGTACTCGATGCAAGATGCGGTGTTACCGCCCCCCGTCTCGGTGTTCAGAGCCTGCCTTCCGTTCTCGCGCAGCCACTGCGAGAGCGGCTCCCATGCCGTGTCAATGTTGTTGGTGGTGCAGTTGGCGTGCGTGCCCGAGTTGTCCTATATCATTTCCAGTGTTATTCCGACGCCGACGAGATTCTCGAACTGGTTACTCACGTAGTCGAGATACTTGTGAACATCGAAAATGAGGTTCGTCTTAGTACCGTCGGGGTTTGTCACGTTAAGGAGAGCTGCTCCAGAGCCGTCTGACCAAATGGTGGCAGCGGATGTGTACTGGTCACCAGGAAGAAGAATCAACTGGGTGGTTGCCCTGTGGGACGGTTAGCTTGGAATACCCTCGTGAAGGATGCGCCGGGGAAGACTTACCCGGCCTCGCGAATTGCGTTCACGGCGTACTGGACAGACTCAGCCCACAGGGTGACGTTGAGGTCATGCGGTTCATTCATTCTTCGCATTACCAGTTAGTACACAAAGAGGTTAGTACATGTTGTGACTCACGTTCCGAAGATGATGTTGTTGTACTGCTTGAACTCCGAGGCCAACGAGTACCAGAGGGCAGCAAACTGCTCATTGGTAGGCCCACCTTGCCCAATGATCTATGCATATCAATGAGCTACCGCCTTATTCTTGGCTTCACGGGGTCACTTACTCCGCCGTCCCAGCGAGCGTAGTTGTGGACATCGACAATGCAGCTCGCACCGGTGCTCAAACACGCTTGCACCAATGCGTTATACTTCTCGAAATTCGGTTGGTAGAGCGTGCCGCCCAAGGTGTTATTAGTGAGATATTGCCAGCCGACCGGAAGTCGGAACAGGCTGTAGCCGTCGTTCCGGACGAAGTGTTGCATTTGACCGAGTCCGTCGGGACCTGTAGAGGATGGCATACATGAGCTCGCCCGCTCGTTGTCCCCTGAAGATAGAGGTACTGACCTCCGTACTGGGTCAAGGGAGGCACGACCTGGGTAATGTCGCAGGTACCATCCGTGCCACAACCGAAGTCAAAGCCAGCAATATTGACACCAGTGTAGCGGAACTGCGCGAAGGCAGACCCGACCATGCAGGCCAGAGCTACCGCGGTTGAGGCGAGGAACTTCATGTTGTCAGTATATGACGGAGGAACTGGGGGGTCGCACCTCAGTTAACAGAGAAATGGCCCTTATTATACCCTCCTGGCCATAGACAATTACAGCTTTAAGATGTATTCGCGGAAATACCGTGAATAATCCGTACTGGGTGCGGAGACACATGCTATCCCGAGGTGCTTCCGGGTGGATCCATGGAAACACGTCAGGGACATCGGTCACGACACAGAGGAGACTCTAAACAGGCTTCACAACCTGTAGAGCCCTCGGTCCCTTCGTTCCAATCGACTGACTCCGGGATATGCTCGCCACAAAGTCGGTGCCGAAAACAGGAAGTGGGGTGGGAGGCAAATTCATGACCAACATAATCCCATCGTACTTGAGCCTGCAGTCATGATGAGTATTTACATCTGCAAGAATACATCCTCGTACGGTTTTGACCAAAAATACCCGCCCTTTCACGGGTATGAAAAAGGATGTCATCCAAGTTCCGAGGATCTCGCGGTCGATTAGATGAACATTCCAGATCACGTCACACGCAAGTATACCTACAGAAATAGGAATGCCTAGGTGAGGGAAAAGTCGCACCACCTGATTAAATGCATGGGCGAGGAAAAGGTACACTACCGGGCAGACGACGCGGCGGGCAAGCGTGACCTATGCAAATCGGACTTCGCGGCATTTCATCAATGTCGGCAAGCAACGTACTTGCACGAGAGGGGCCGGGGACGGTGGTCTGAAGTGTCAGCCTGAGTATGAGTTGCACTGTATGGAAGACGCGGCGGACTAGCACGACCTACGCATATCGGGACTTGACCGCAGAGCACCGCTCTCGATGAAGAACGTGCCTCCATATATTGATGAGGGTAGGGGGGGCGGTGGCAATCTGTCTTCTCTGCGTTCCATTGCATCAGGAGCAAAGAAGGTGGAACTTCTGTCACATCCGGTCCCGGCATAAATGCTCTTTGGCCTTTCGTGATTCAGTAACCAGGGAGCCACAAGTGCAACATTATCCACGGGGTGAGCAGAAGCTTGGATCATCAACGACTGATAACAATTCCGTGCGAAGAGAACGAACTGCGCCCCGGTTGAGTTTTCGAGTGATGACGGCGGAGCTTGGCGAGTGCAAGGCAGAGGTAAGTGGGATAGACTTCCAACAAATTCGGACGGGAGTCCACCACCATCTGCCACAGCCGCTTCAGAGTTGGCGAGCCAGGTTCTCGAATGTCTCGTTTTCGCCTGTCAGTACAAGCGCAAGGCCGCCAGAGGGTCAGCAGCGGGTTGTCATTCCAGGGGGCAGTTCAGGACCATTCTTTCCCAGGACAGTATGAGTTTGGGAGCCCTGAGCGGGGGCAGAGGAGTATCGGGCTGCAGGTAAAGCTTTGGTGCACTTCAACCTTTAACATATCAAGAAGTGTATGTCGAATGAGAAGAAAAAGCGACGTACAGCGAGTTAGTGCACGAAGGTGTCCGCCATTAGACCCCGAACTATTCCAACCTTTGGGCTCCTTGCGATGTCCACAGAATCCACTTCGAAAATCGTGGTAGTCCAATATGGCAGGCTTAATTGACATTCGCCACCCTGTCCATATGTAAGTGTCTGATATCTTGGGCCTCAATAATGTCATGTTGTCGTCCACGAGGCTGAATTATGAGCTGGGCCCGTCGGTCTGACGGCAGGTAATCGTAGATAAACACATCTTCGACAGGTAGTCTCCTACGGAAGAGTAGACGAAGCGTAAAGGTCTACTTACATGCCTTGCCGAAGTCGGCTTCTCGAAAAGGGGGAGAAGACTGGCGGGTACAAGTAAAAAATAGAGTATACTTATCGTGAAATACAGGAACATCCACACGCAGTTGCGCGTTGACATGACAAAGTCGCGACTCAGATCCATAATGCTAGTATCGATGAGCCATCAATATTGGACTAACCCTAACCCTATCGAGCTGACGACACGAAGTGGTATTACACATGCTAAACATTGTAAACTAGTGAATTAGATGAAAGCCTTGGTGACTTTAATAAAATACAGCGACCTTGATTACCACTCTTCCATACGGGTGAAAAACTTTTCTTTTGCACTCTTGCTCATGATATGAACCGCAAAATCACCTGCGTCTATCATGGCCCATGTATCATTAACCTTCCGCTTCGCATTGGGTGGTAGCGGTAAGGGTGGCTCCATTTTTAATAGCTATATTGCGCCGTAAGCCTCACTGAAGTGATTGCGTGCGATCGGATGGCACTTACTGTTTTACGGACAAGGCGAACTACAGACTCTATCGCCCCTCGCTTCTCCGTACCTTCCTTAACCTAGCAGTCACGCCTATCAGCAAGGCCAGAGCCTGCGACACGTGTACTGAACGCACCTGAGCCAGAATCAACCAATTCCATATCCCACTCGTAGGGTACAACACCCCTTCGCCTGCATACGTGCTCCCCCGTTTCCTCCGACCCTGCGGTCCCTTCGGCGGCAACGGCGGGCCAGGGGGTATCTCAGGCGGCTCGCGCACGAGCAGCTCCGACGGTTCGAGGTGAGGCGACTTGACCAGCTCTGCGTGCAGATTCTTCACTACTTCCGGTACATTTTCGGGTATCGGTGGGACCGTAGCTAAGACCTCTTTCGAAGGTAGATGTGGTGGGTTTGGACGCAAGTCGTGTGAGCGTTCCGCTTCGGCGTCTACGAACCATGGCACCGGCCGATTCGAGTTTGATGAACTTGACGGCGACGACGAAGGGGCAGTCGATAGTAATCTCACCGCATTCGGCCTCCGACGATAGGCTCTGGTCGGTAAACGAGACGCAGCGCGGAAGACCTGCATGATGTCCAGGAGGAATGAACGCAGAGTTAGCACATCACGATTGGATTTTCACGTGGGTACATATCGGTGGCTGTGCGTGATGCAGCCGTGCCTTTCGAGCAGACTTGGCAGATGAACCGCTCGCTGCCCTCCGCCGTTCCTCCACCGTGTACATTCCCCCATGGCCTGGCGAGTCAGCTTCGTAGTCTGCGTAACCTCTTTTCTTCTCGGTTAGTTTTACACTTTGTATCGTCGAATGGGACTGATAAATATACTCGCACACAGGGACCCTCTTCACGCACTGGATCGCGGACTCGCTGACGCTGTGGAAGTCGCCCGAGATCAGCGATGAGCATCTCTGGACCGCCGCGGCGTACTACTCCATCCTTGCGCGCATGCCCGAGTACCTGCTCTATTTTCTGACTGCTACAGCGTGCCTCGGCGGGATCACGATTTTATGGAGCTTGGGAGATGGGCAGGCAGGGAATTTGATGTTTGACGGGGGCAGCATCTGTGAGCCCAAGATGGATGTAATTACGAGGATGCTATTGCTGACGAGGCGTGAAGTCTTGTATGGCAGTGCGGCTGCGGTATATCTGTATTCTGTCCTCCCCAGTAAGTCCTCTGCCGCGTTTGATGTCTGAGTACCTCCAACTCAGTACTGTAGCCCTTTCCACGTTCAAATCCCTACCCCTCCACACCGCAAGCACCGTCTACCCCCCGAACCTCCGCACGCTCACCCTCGACCTCGCCTCCAACAATCTCATCTGCAGCGTCGCCCTTACCGGCATATTGCTCCTCCAAGCCGGGCGCTGGTGGGCCGAGAACAGGGACGGGAACGACGACGACGCGCCCGTCATGGACAAGCCGGAGAACGCGGATGGGGTCAGAGAGCGGACGAAGAGCGCCAAGTTACGAAAACAAAAGACGAAGAGCTAGTCTCCTCCAGAATACCACTTTCGGCGCAGGGGTCGAGCTTACCCATGTAAATGCTATGTCTAATATTGCGAGCAATGTTTCTTGGGCAATGATGGACTCTGACTGCATATACTGTCGACCGTCATTACTGAGAAGAAACTCCTTCGTCACGGATGGAATTAAGTGATGACCACAAAGGCCACGTCTATGTGAGTTGGCTGCGCCGCAAATAGTAAAGAGTATACACATATAATATGCCGAATTACTCTTGAACAATATCTTCTTTCCGGGGCTTGCTGTTCTTAAGCTCCCTCCCCTGCCCAATGATCGACTGCGCCTCATCGTCAATGACCGTCCCTACCAGCCCAAATCAGTCAAACCACACCATGCCCACCACGAAGAAAACACTCACCCAACCCCTCCTGCCTAACCAACCCCAGCACATGCTCCAGCTCGACATACCCGTCCTTGTCCACGTCCAGCTTCTGGATCACTGCCTGCCCGACCTCCTCGTCCGGCCGGTGCTTGATGACAGCCAACGCCTTCTCGAGGTCCTGCACGGAGATCCGGCCCTGCGGGTCGCACGAGATCATCTGCAGCGAGCTGCCCACGCGCTCGTCGTACTCCTGCAGCTGCTTGTCGATCTTGGTGAGCATCGTGCGGATGCGCTTCGTCAGCGCGCCGGATGGAGACTTGGGGTCCTGTGAGGGTATTAGCACGAGTATAGATGGGTGAGTGGGAGGTAAGTACCTCTTCGGCTTGGAGATTCTCTTCCATTAGAGCCCGGAGTTCGTCGCGTTCTTTGAGGACGCTAGACTTAGCCGAGAGCAACTGGAGCGCCTCGCCCAGCTCCTTCAACTGCTCAGTCGTCATGCGAGCTTCCTCGACAGGTTTCTCCGGTTGCAGCTACATAAGACATCGTCAGCAACGTCGATCACACACGAACAAGCCGCCCTACCTCGGTGTCAGGCAACAAAGATTGAGCCAGACGAGCTTCCTCCTCCCGCTTGGACCGCTCGTCTGCCTCCCTCTTCGCGCGACGAGCGGCGTCCTCCTTTTGCTCCTGCTCCTCTTCGTCCTCGATGAGCTCCTCCTGTTGTTGCAGTACCTCGAGCTTCTGCTTGTAGCTGGCCTTGTCCGAGTCGACTTCAAGCTCAGCTTCGTTCAGCTGTAATACGCAACCGGTTAGTTTCATACCAGCCAACAACAATGAATCAGATTTTAAACGTACCAGGGTGTCAGGCAAGCCGCTAAGCACAGCCTGCAAGCTCTGAATGATCGCAGTCTTCCCATCCTCGTCCTCACCAGGCATCCGATCAAAATTAAACGCCCGTCCCAGGATAAGTAGCACGCCCGACACGCGATTATGCAAATGCAGCTGAATCCACGCCGCCAACTCGTCCCTCAGCCGCCCCGGACTGACACCATACGTCCTAATCCCCCTCGCCTGGCACGCCGCCTGCAGCTCGGGGATCGATAGCTCCTTCACGCCCTCCCTGTCGATAGCCTGGTCGTCGCGCCGAATCTGTAGTAACCGCGAGCGGATCGCGCCACGCAGGAAGTTGTCCGTGCCGAAGGCGTTGATGCCCATGTAGCGGCACATAGAGACGAGCTGCGGGCGAGAGAGGTTGTCCAGCGTGAGGTCATCGTCGAAGAGCCGCGCGACGTTGATGATGTCCTGGGTGGAGGGGGATTCGCCTGTTGACCGTACCTACGGGAGGGGGAGGTGAGATGGACGAAGGGAGGAGTGGAGAGGGCAGTACCTTGCGGAAGAACTCCTTGAATGCGTCTGAGCCGACGATGTGCGCGTTCGCTTTCAGACCGGATTCTCGGAGCGTTTCTTGGAGGAATTTAGCCATTTCTAACCGGACACGCAGCAATTTGCGTTGTTTTTCTTCCTTCATTGCGTAGAAGTTTGTGTTACATAGTCAGCGCCATTGTACGGACCCAGTGATACAACTGTTTACTCACTGCCGCGAATTTATCTTCGAAGGTGGACGGGAGCATGTTGGGGAACAGCTTGAGTGCAACGGGTAGCAGGAATTCCATGAACGGGACAATCACGAAGACCGCGAAAGGGATCAACCGCAGCAGGTCTGAGGTGGTACGTCTAAGCTAAGGGGAGACGAAATCCAATCCAATGGTAGCTGTCTGTGAATCACGCAAACGGGGCAGAGTGTCATACGAAACGTACCTGTCTCCGTTCTCTGCGAGTCAAGGTCTCTCCGTGCAGTAGTTTCCATTGCAGTCGCGCTGAAATGCGCACTTCCGACACCAAGAGCTTGGAGCCATGCCAATAGTGTTGCGCTTCATGCTTGACCTTCTTCCACACTCTGGTCAGCACAGGCTCTTTCGTAGTTGTGTCTTTTGGTGCTGGTGGACTGGGTTTTGGGTCGGGACTCGAACCTGGGTCCGCAGGCACGGACGCTGCCTGGTCGCTTGCGAACCGTATTGACGAACGGTGCACTTGCACTACAGCTGCGTTCGGACGTGCAAGAACGAGCGAACCGGTTGGCCTATGACCGCGCGTCGCCGCCACAGTGTACCGCGCGATATGTCGCGCTCCGACATGTTGACGAGTAATAAGAGAAGGTGAGGGGCGCGGCAGCCATAGAGACATAAGAATTGTAGAGACGAAGGCAAGAAATTCGGATTACATGCGGGGATGCTCGGCAGCGCATTTCATCATTGCTTCGGCCGCGGTGGCTGTTTGCCTTTGTTTTTCGTGACAACCTCCGACTCTCATCTCTCTGCGATGGCGACGTCGACGACGACGGTGGCTAGTATACATGACCCTTCGAGTGCGGAGTACAAAAAGGCAAGGAGGAGATATCTGAAGACCACACGGAACAGGGACAATCGCGTCGATTACGAATGGACTCCTTTCAGAGCGGCGGAGAAGAAGTATAAGGCGCGGTTTCCCCCTCCTGATCTATCAAATGTGCTAGACCTAGCCACGCTGGACGAAAGCAGACGGGAGGAACTTGCCCAAGGCGGATGGGTTGGTCGGTCAGATGCTGTCGAGTGGAAAGTGATCAGGCTTTCGGAAAGTAACTCTGGTCGAAAGGCGTACACTATTCCCCGCATACCCGGTGCGGATGGCTCCATTTCGGTCGAGGATATGTATGTATTCATTGTTGTTGTGTATGCGCTCTTCGCCTACAAAAGGACTCGTCATCTTGCCATCGTATATCTCGCGCGAGGCGCAGCGAGACATGATACGATGGAGTCTTCGCGATCACGCAAGATACCCAAATGAAACGAACCTCGATACGCATTACATCGTTCCACAGGAGGGCATCTGGAATATATCCCTAAGGTCCCAGCAACGGGACGGCCAAGAGGAAACGATACACCCTCGGGCGTCCTGCAGCTCCCAGCCTCCTCCGGCTGAAATACCAGAAGACACCAAACCGGGGCCTCGGAAGCTCATCTCGAACCCCCCAGCTTCACCTGACACCTTCCAGGATATTGCAACATCTCCAAAGGCCCCCGCTCCGCCGTCAAATACGGTCGCGCCGGCCCCCGCATCCAGCGTTGTCCGTAAACTCAGGTGGGCAAACATAGGATGGTCCTACCACTGGGGCAGCAAGCAGTATGACTTCTCGAAAGGGAAAGCGGAGGTAGACCCCGTCTTACGCGGGGTGTGCAGAAGGATTGTCCAGAGCATAGAATGGGCAGATGTATACGCCGAGGACGATAGTTCGCAAGAGGGTTGGGGGCCAGAAGGGCCAGACTGGATGTGTTGGGACGAAACTTACGGTAAGTGCGGGTTAAGCGTGATCGATGCAATGCCAATGGCGTGCGCTAGATCCCGACGCTGGTATCGTGAATTTCTATCAAACGAAGGTGTGTTCTAGTACCGGCGTTCCCATGTATTTTGCATCTCATTGGGATTGAAGGATACACTTATGGCCCACGTTGATCGCTCAGAGGTTTGCGCCACTTCACCTTTGGTCTCCATTTCGTACGTCATCTCCCATGTACCACTCCTCCCTTACTGATGCGTGGATCCAGGCTTGGCAACGCCGCCATATTCCTCATAGGCGGACTGACTCGGGACACAGAGCCCACCGCCGTCCTCCTGCGCTCAGGGGACGTAGTCATCATGTCCGGGCCCGCATGCCGGAGAGCATACCACGGTCAGTGTACCCGCTCCCTCGTATCTCCATCGCAAGCTTACAGACGACCTATAGGTGTACCACGAATCCTAGAGAACACCCTACCCACCCATCTTGAAGAAGGGGACGACGACTGGGCCGTGTACGCGGATTACATGCAGACCTCGAGGATAAACGTGAACGTTAGACAGGTCTTCCCGATAGGTTTCACTCCTGACTTGCCAAACGACAAGAAGTGATGACGAGTGTGTTTTGATATTACTGTGACTATACGAGATGTGCTCTATATATTACACAGAAGGCAGGCTGCGCTGGCTAACTGGCGGCGGATATCATGATAGTCTACGTCGTGAGCTGACAAGGTGAAAATGTCAAGAGGCGGCTGCATTGAATATGATAGGGCGACTTACAATCCTCTACCTCACCCCACTTCTCAATTTGGCTGTTTACCTCGACTGATGCAGCCAGGGCTGCTTGCTCGGCATTAAGATGCTTTTTAACGAGGCCCAGTCCAATGATGAAGGACTTTGTCGTGTAAGTGGTGCGTTCCATAGCTGCAGACGTAAGATCATTATACGAGCGCGGGAGCGAAGCAAGAGGGGAAGGCAGAGACATACCAGCAAGCTCCCAAGAATCAAGCTCGGCTAGCACATTTGCGAGCTTCTCAGTCGTCTCTGGTGGCTGAGTGCTGGAGAGGACGGAGAAGAAGGTATGGATGGGGACGTCGAAGGTTGCGCGAGCCCAATCCAGTAACGGGTCCCAGTGGGCCTTTTGTAGACGGGCGAGCGCCTCAGGCTCCAGTTGGTGGAAGCTAATAGTCGATTAGAAAATGACCCGGCCATACAGATGAATGAGTACATACCAAACAGTGTCGGTATCCAGATACTTTATCAGAGCTTCCCGAATTTCCGTACGCGACTTTGGATCCTTCGCAGTGTCAATGGCTCTGGCTGCCAACGAAGTCTGGAATAGGTGAGTAGATGGGGCGATGCCGAGACGCTCGTTGGACGCACCATTGGCAGAGCATGCGACTTGAGGACCGTCTCTTGATTTTCCCACTCATTCGCAATCAGTGTAGCGACGAGGCTCTTATTCTTGGGCAACACCAGCGGGTTTCCCGAAGGCGTCTTCAGAGCCCTCTTGTCGAGAGTAACCGCGAGCCCGCCATCTCGCTCCTGAATGTCAACCGTCTTCCAGAACCGCTTCAACGTCGCTTGGGCGCCTTCCAACACGTAGTCAGGTTCAAGCGCTCTCGCAACTCAGATCCAAAGCACGTACGATTCGTGGCGGTCGGGGGTGCTCCCTGTGCAGCGCCGGAAACGGTGGCATAGCCTCGTTGCTTTAGAAGTGCATGTCTCAGTACAGGTCGAGCATCCGGGAACCGCGCAGCGGAGACGATTCGTGCAGGTGACAGTCGTGAAGTCTGCATCAGCCACAGTTGTTCGCCGAGAATTTCACCAAGTCCCTTTCATCACGTGATCGCTTCGCGCCTGATGTGGCAATGGCCCTGGGCTTTGTAGTACATGACATGTGGCGCCCCGCATTTTGACTTAGAACTCGCCTGCCGGTTTCTTGATCATCGCTGCGTTCATTTCGCGGAGCTATCGCATTGTCTATTATTCTACGCATTGCTACACTAAGGATAATATCGTCCCTCGCAAGTGAACGCATACGATGCCCCCAAAGCACGGGTCTGCTCAAGGGTCTGCTTCGAGAGGGCAGTCTACAATTTCCTCCTTCTTTTCCCCGCGATCCTCTCCGGCCAAGCAGAAGAGCTCGCTAAAGCGTGGTGTAACCACTGTGATTGATCTGACGTCGGACGGAGAGGGAGAGGATCAACGGACTCCCAAAAGACCTCGGGTCAGTCAGACTAGCCCGGCTTCGCCGTACTTCCAACAAGGATCATCCAAGGATACCACTGCGGATCCGGAGGAGTGGGCCTTCCGTCAATCACAAACCCAGCACGCTGACACGGAGCCTCGGTCAGCTGCGGACGAGAAGGCGCGTCTGGCACGACGAGAGGCGTTCAAGAGGAAGCTGCTTGGCGAAAACAATCTATTTGTGCAGAGACAACGCGCGCTGGACGGACACAATTTAGAGGATGGTGAAGCTGGTGGAGCAGAGGAAGAGCACCCGGGGAGGGAGTCGTCTGGAGACGAGTCCGACAATAAGTTGAAAGAGCTCCTCAGCCATTTCGAGATGGACAGCCAGAAGAAGAAGGGTAATCGCAGCAAAGGCAAACCAAAAGCTCGGCCGAAACCCAAGGAGTTAGGACCCATGGGGGAGCCTTGGACGGACTTAGAACGTCAGGTATGTTATCCCATACACAACGAATACCGCAGTCGCTGAGATAATCACGCACCAGGTCCATGAACTGAAAGCTAAGCATAAGGATACCATTCTCATGATAGAAGTTGGATATAAGTACGTTTTCTTCGGGGAGGATGCTAAGGTGACCAGTTGCGGCATTCTTCACGCCGAGCTTCTCAGCTCAGCTCTTGATTATAGGTCGCTTCCAAAGAATTGGGCATTGTGTGCTATCCCAAAGGGAACTTCTTCCGAGCCTCGATACCCGTGGACAGACGGGAAGTCCATCTGAAGAAGTTGGTCCTGATGCTAGTTCTGTTTCTTCGTTTCACTAACTAGAACAATAGATTGTTGGCGCAGGGACACAAAGTAGGCATCGTTGACCAGACAGAGACTGCTGCACTCAAGCAAGCTAGCGACACCCGGAATAAGCTCTTTAGTAGAAATCTAAGCCATCTATACACTGCAGCCACGTAAGATACCACTGACCTCTCCTCGACTCAGCTTCCGGCGAGCTCATACCACCGCACACAGTTACGTCGATGATTTAGACTCAGTAGATGATTTAGAACGCTCTTCTGCTCCGTCCCTTGTCTCTCTGGTCGAAGAACGGATGGGAGGGATGGGTACCGACGAAAGGGTAGGCATTGGCATGGTTGTCATATGCCCAAGTACTGGTGATGTGATATGGGATAACTTCGAAGGTTAGCTCTCGAAAAGATCTACAAAAGGTGTTTTGTATATTAAGGGATTGTAGATTCACATATGCGTATTGACTTGGAGGTAAGTCATGTTATCTTGATCGCTTCTACGTTCCGCTAAAGGAGGGCAGACAAGACTTTCGCATACACGGCCTATGGAAATGCTGCTTCCTGCGGGTAGCCTAAGCGAACCGACAGAGAAGATGCTGAACCACTTCGTCAGGTTAGTGCTCGGGCTCCTGTGCATCTGTATGCTGATCGTGATCTACAATGTCCTCGTAGTCATAGTCCAGAAGGCCGGAAGGTCCGAACCGAGCGTACCAAGGACACCATGCCGTATTCCGAGGCGTTTAACCTAGTAACTTCTTTCTATACCGAGAACTCCAACATTGTCGGAGCTTCAGATAGTTTCAAGTCAGGTAGGTTTTGCATGTTCCGCGCTGGTCGACTAAATAACTTTTCATCCAGGTCAGCTGTTGGCTACTGCGATGGCATTCCCGAAGCGTGTCATCATTGCTCTCGCCCATGCTATCAAGTATCTTTCAGATTTCCAGCTAGCAAAAGTCCTTATTCGAACCGAGTTCTTTGATGAGTTCTCCAAGCGAACGACTATGCTGTTACATGGCAATACCCTGACCAACCTGTGAGAGTTTTCGCTGCTTGTAACGTCACTGTCCCGCCTGAATCGCAGGCAGGGAGATATATAGGAACGAAACAAACTACAGTGTCAGAGGATCCCTGCTGTCGATCCTGGATCGCACGCGGACAAAATTTGGATCTAGGATGCTCCGTCGCTGGATAGGTCAACCACTAGTTGACTTAGGGTATGTACCTACTCTTTTGTATTCCCATTCCTCGTTGACGGGTGTCGTCCAATCCAAAGACTCTTACAGGAGCGGTTTGAAGCCGTTGAGGAAATCATCGGGAACCAGTCACCGCGCCTTGTCGCCTTAGGCGAGCTACTGAAAGGTCTACCGGATCTCGCCAAAGGCCTAAGCAGGATTCAATATGGCTATGTACGTTACATATCCCGAGGCTCCCGTGTATGCTAGGGGAGCCGGGCTGATTCCAGGCTAGTGTACGCCCAAGGAGCTGGCGATTGTGCTTCGAGCTTTTCAGAAGGCTGCACTCGCCTTCCCGTCCGCAGATGCTACCGAACCCGCTCAGTTTAGGTCGAAACTCCTGCAGGATATTCTTACAGCGCTGCCAAGATTGCGCGAACCCGTCCAGAGTGTGCTAAGCGAAGTATCCCTGAAGATTATGGAGGCGGGTGACAAGGAAGGGATGTGGCTTGACGCGGATAAATATCCGGACATTGCGGAATATGCCGCTGTAAGTGTCTCACCTTTGGTATCCACACCCTATAAGCGAACCTACAATCATCACTGTAGGCCGCTCAGGCTGCGGAAGCAGAGTTGACGGAGGAACTGGAGTCAAGTGAGTGCACAAGATGCTCGTGTCAATGCTTTGCTGATTTCACGGTAGTTCGTAAGGTGTTAAAAAAGCCGTCTCTCTCATGGACTACGGTAGCCAATGAAGAGGTGCGTCCTGAGCATTGGGTACAGCTTTGACGCTCATGCTCGCACCCGAAGTACCTGGTTGAGATTCGGAAGGATGAGAATCGCAACATTCCAGCCACTTGGCAGCTCATATCAAGGTGATCCAAACTCATCTATGTCTCTCGACTATTTGCTAAGCTAGATACAGCACGAAGTATTGCAGGAGGTACAGAACACCGGAAGTAAAGACGAAAATGCTACATCGCCAGCAATATATAGAAGCTCGTCAAGAAGCGGCCAAAAGGGCGTTCAAGTCCTTTCTACAGGAGATAGCTCAGAAATATTATGGGATCTTCCGCGATGTTGTCGCCAAACTAGCTACTGCTGACTGTCTCTTGAGCCTGGCCTTGGTTGGCCTCACGCATGGTTATGTGCGACCCGAGTTCACAGAGGATGACACCCTAGAGATCGTTGGAGGAAGGCATCCTGTGATAGAGCAGTTACGCGACCAGCCTTTCATCCCTAATTCTATCTGTCTTGGTAACCTCGAGGCACGGAGCAAAATCATTACAGGACCGAACATGGGTGGGAAAAGCTCCTGCGTGAAGATGATTGCGGTCATCACTATTATGGCGCAAATCGGTTCATTCGTCCCTGCCAGTCGCGCTCGGATGGGCGTAGTTGACGGAATTTATACCAGGATGGGTGGTACGTATTTGCCCGTCTGTACCTTCTGTTGTTCAGCACCCTTGACATCGTACTCCAGCTTCTGACGAGATCATGAAAGGTCGGTCAACCTTCATGGTCGAGATGACAGAGACGAGTGAAATCCTCCACTCGGCTACCCCTAAGAGTCTGGTAATTGCTGATGAGCTCGGCCGGGGCACTTCCACTTTCGACGGAGTGAGCAGAAAATAATCGCTGCCTCGGCATGTGCTAATCTTTATGATCTTATAGATGGCAATTGCTCATGCCGTATTGCAACATCTTGTCGAGTCTGTCAAATGCAAAACCCTTTTCATCACGCATTATCCCTTGGTGGCTACTGAAATCGAGAAGCAATTCCCTAACTTTGTGCAGAATTTGCATATGGGTTTCACCGAGGAGAGTAGAATTGACGGCTCAACCGATATCACCTTCCTATATCAACTCAGTCCCGGTCTGGCTGAGGCGTCCTTCGGCATAGAATGCGCTAGACTGGCCAACCTACCGTCCAAGGTTCTTCACGTTGCGCGACAGTCTGCTGAGAAATTGCGCAGCCAAGTGGAGGAGCGAACACGAATCAATCAGTAAGAGTCCCGCCGAGCTTCTGGTCGCTGGTTGACAATCGCTATTTTCAGGACCAAAATTCTGGCGCAACTCATTACGCAGGCCCTATCGTCGACGCGTTCCTTCGAACGGAATCGAGTACTGTCTAGCCGCCTCCGCTATGCGACAGCAACGGGCGACCGGCAATAATATATTGAGTCAGAACCTCATTCTCATCTTTCTTTCACCCACAAATCTGGGTTACCTCTGGTTACCAGATGATCTGGCCCAATACTGTCTAGGAGTCCCTCAGGCAGACGTGTTTCCTGTCTTGATATCAGAAGCACTCCTGAATAGACATGGGAATATCTCATGTTTGGTGTTTACAGCCTGATGACTGACCACTCCATTACAACATAAGGATCCTTGTTTCCCAGAAATAAGCCGAAAAAGTCATCCTCTCAATTTCGAGCAGAAGTCGGGCTTGTACCTCGACCTTCCCCCCTTCACCCAATATACCATTCCACAAAGCCGCGCAGCTACAAGGAGAGTGGGAGAACATGCTGTACCCCTTCGTGAATACGTATGTCGCCATCGGAACCGGTCTGTCATTCATGAGGAATTTCCTGAAGCGGGCAGGAGGCTGGCTCTGATTATAATGATAGTTCATCCACATCGTGGATTGGCACAGTAGGTCTGGTTTTCCAGGACCGGAATGGCTATCCGGCCAAGTATTATCCCGCTCGTCTTCCGGCAGGGCCGCTTTTCCTAAGCTGAATGTTGTTTCTTCAAATGGGTCCCATGAAGTTGAAGCTAAAACCTCAGGGACGTCCTCGTCGTCGCACCTAGTCATAGTATGACTGTGTGCGACGACGCGACTCAGGGCCCCCCGTCGGTTTGGGTTTCATGGAGGCAGGATCGACGGCCGCAGGGAAGTCTATTCTTCGGTCTGATAGACTAGCCCTGCGTATCTCTCCAAACCCCCTGGCTTTCCGTTTTCCTGAATGCATATGTGCACCTTGAGACCCATACGTAAATGCTGATTTTGACGACGAATACGGTAAGCCTAGCTCTAGCAAATGGCCTTCCCACTTCATGCAAGGTATGCATATCGCCCTCCACTACTCAGGGAGTGTCTTTCTTCCTCGGCTTGATCTGTTCTTCAATTGGCCTAGTCTCCACACACTGGCCGCTGCATGTCGCGAGGTGTTGGGTTTCCAGTCCTACCTAGTGCACAGAAGACGCCGCAAGAGCACCTGGACTCAAATTATCGGAATGGGCCGGACCCCCTGGTACGTACGCTCGCGACGGCGGTAAACGTATTTCTAGGCGAAGTTATAGAATTGATTGTTATTGGACAGCGTTACTGGTGATGAATCCAACTAAGATTTCGCGAGACCTTGTGGAGAATCGGTCGTCCACTTGCTCCAGCCGGCTCGAGCTAAGAGCTGCTGCGACATGGTGCGTACCGTGGCACTGCCTCCTCTCGTCTGCAAGTCCTTTCTTGGAACAGCAGCCGCTCCGGAGAAGCCTTCTATCAGGTGAACGACCGTCTACGTTACGTCACAGTGGTAATGGCACGACTCGCCGACCATTCAACACAAAGGAATAGCCATAGAACAGGGAAGAAAGGGGAAACAACCGTCCACCATTCCAACGAAGGAGATAGCCAAGCATCTCCTGTCAGGGATTCTGGAGCTAAGAATAGCTCGACACAGATATGGAGCGGACGCTATGACTTACTCCACGACTTACAGTACCTTCGGACGATAACCTTCCTCCAAGGTGACGGTTCGCTATGAAGGCATGTGAAATCCTTCCCACAGGAGTGACAACAAGCGCTGGTTGACGTGCCGTTATATACCAACGTCTGGAGGTGTTGGCTCGCATGCTGCCAGTTTTACTCTAATATGGAGATAGACGCCACCTACTTCGCTGTCCCGTTCTCCGGCCTTGTTGTGGCCGTCGCTTTTCTCTACTGGCTACGATGCCAGAGGCATACCACCGCCGCGCCTCTTCCACCAGGGCCTAAGGCTTTCCCACTCATCGGCAACGTGCTGGATATACCCCGGTCTAAACCATGGAACACCTTCACAAAATGGGGTAGAAGATACGGTATGTCACTGTCCCACTCTGCAGTCTCGCTTCTGACTCGGAGGCCGACGGAAGGACCCATTGTACACGTCTCAGCTTTCGGAAAGTCCTTCATCATCCTCAACGACTCTCAAACAGCCATCGAGATGCTGGACAAGAAGAACAGAATATATAACGGCCGTCCCAATTTTGTTATGGCAGGTGAACTGGTAGGCTGGGGAGAAGCTCATCCTCTCAGCCAGCCTACGCAAACCTGGAGCGAGTACCGCAGGATGACGCTTCAGTTCATAGGCACGAAGGCTAAATTAGAGGCCTTTACGGAGCTGCTCGAACAGGAAACCCTTGTATACGTACAACGCATCCAAGTGAATCCCACTGCATGGAAGGGTCATATTCGTAGGTGCGTGGTCTCGAGACCGGTTCCCGGAACAAAGACAGTAGCTTTGAGCGCAGATTGGCTGGATCCATCGTGCTGCGAATGACATACGGATACAAGGCTGCAGAAGAGGATGATGCAATGGTGCATCTAGTCGACACGGCAATGGACACATTCTCAGAGACTACAGCTGCCAATGTCTTCCTCGTGGACACCTTCCCGTTCTGTGGGATTTAAACATGGTTCACTGGAATACTATTCGCTGACTTTGACATGTCGCAGTACGCTATCTCCCGGAATGGTTTCCTGGGGCAAGCTTCAAGTCGAAAGCGAGGCGTTACAATGCAATAGCTCAGAAAATGGTCCAGCGCCCTTTCGAATGGGCTAAGCAACGATATGTACTGTCGTGCCCTCCTACCTGCTTGAATTTCTTGTGAACATGACTGCCTCCAGGAGAAAGGCGTGGGGGAGCCGTGCTTTGTTTCCGATTGCTTGAGTAAGGAGGAATTGACACCGGACAAGGAGCAGGTCCTGAAGTGGGCTGCAGCCGGGATATGCGGGGGTGAGTCGGCATCATCTCCAATAACGTCGTATTAATATAGCCTCAAGGTGGTGCTGACACGGTTGGTCCTTCTATACCTTCAGCTTTTGTCAGTCTCATGTCGATGCCTTATAGACAGTCGCGGGAATCGAAGCTTTCTTTTTCGCCATGGCCAGCCAAAAGGATGCTCAAGAGAGAGCACAAGCCGAAGTCGACGCCGTTGTGGGTGCTAACAGGCTTCCTACGTTAGCAGATCGCGCACGTCTGCCATACTTCGAAGCTCTGTACCTTGAAGTTATACGCATGTACGTGTTCATACCCATGGGTAAGTCCTGGTTTCCATAAAGCCAGAGTTGCTTTTGATAGAGTCCCCGTTCGCATGAAGGCCTCCCGCATGCTTCTCTTGAGGATGATATCCATGAAGGATACTTCATCCCAAAAGGATCCATTATGATACCAAACATGCGGTGCGCGATGGTTATCGTGGTAGCGACCGACTCAAGTCTTGAAATCTTCATACACAACTTTAGGGAGATTTACAGAGATCCTAAGACGTACACCAATCCGGAAAGGTTCGATCCGCAACGCTTCCTTCCGACCTCTGACCATGAAATGGCAAAGGATCCGAGAGACTACTTGTTTGGGTTCGGTCGCCGGTTGGTGCTTTTCCTGTCTATACTCGTAATTGTGCTAATCGTGTTTTGAACGGATGTGGTAGGAGATGCCCCGGTAAATGCACGGTATAGAAACGCATCCGCTAAGTCGCTGACTGGATCTTAAGGCATTTACCTCGCCGACGCCTCAATGTGGTTAGCCTGTGTCGCTGTTCTCGCAGCGTTCGACATACGACCTCCAATGGAAGACGGAAAGCTCGGAGTGCCCCAGGATAACTTCACGACAGAAACGATCAGGTACGCATTGGCGTTTTCGATTCGTAGGCGAATCAACACGTTCTCGCCTATCCCCATAGTCACCCTGAGGACTTCGAACCCATCATCAAGGCGAGAGGGACTGCGAACGGCATAGCCATCGTGGAGTGATTGTAATGATTAGATGAGCTTGCTCAGACGCGGCGCAATCATACTCCTTTCTCCATGCCCCGCCCGCGTGAATGATCCAGCTCATGGAAAGCAAATGGCACCTCTCGTGCCTGGCTTGAAACATCCTAAACACTTTGCCCAACCTGTCCAACACCACTAGGACAAGGTTAAGGACAAACTCAGAGGAAGAGGCCTAATCCTCGGCGCGCACGAGACCTGGCTGCGAAAGCATGAGTAAAGGGAGCGATGGTATGTTGGAGTGCTATAGCTAGGTGAGTCGAAGGATCGAGAGAGCCGGAGAACTCGATCTTACGCCTCCGCGATGCTGTAGTGCATACTTTCATCTCCCTCAGCTTCAAATACGCGTTCAAGCCACCGCTACTCCTTCGCCCTCTCAGAGCGAAGACAGCGGGCGTTGTGCGTCACTTCACGTCTCATCTTCGCTGCGTGCTCCAAGGCCTATCGCGTAGCGTCCTTGGTTAATCAGATCGTAAATGTGAGATCTCCCTGAGCTTCACGCCGAATTCCAGACTTACATCCATTGAAAGGCCCAGTTTTCCTTTCGGGCAGTTTTGCTTCCATCAAATAGGTCTTAATTGACACAAATGCAACAGAATTTTGTCGGTTTCCACTGGGTGTGAGGATGCCCTGGACTATAACGGGCCTGTAAGTATCCACATATCCCATCACTATACATCAATCGTCCACACCGCGGCACAGGCCTGTTGAATTATAATGCACAATCAGTCCCATTCGGTCTGGGTGGTTCCCCTTGCTCGCTTTGACATCATGGGGTCCAAGGTCGTTATGTATTAAGTACAAATCGAAGGGATGATCTTCTACAAGACCACAGAGATATAAACGACAGGGTCACACCAGAGCTCGGTGTCAACGTTGCAGTCAGAATACCGGCCGCTATCATTACGCGAGAGTACAACACCGACGGGAACACGAGAGAAGTTACATATCGACAGCAATACGAAAGCAATTCACAGATAGCAAGATGCAGGAGCAAAATCAATAAAGAATGAACATCTTAATCGAAATATGTGCGAATCCCTGAAGGTATGACAATCGGAGAGTCCACTGCATCACCGTTGGCCTCTGTCGCGTCAGGAGTCCTGATGACGAGGGGCGATGCAAGGCCAGAGCTTTCATAAGGCGGCGGGCCACTACGAGGGCTGCACCGATCGGGCGTATTGTGAGCCGATCTTGACACGCCCTGTGAATAGGACAGACGGCGAGACAACGACAGGATAGGGCGTGACAAAGTGTGCGAGCATAATAATGGTCGACGGCGTATAGGCGTTGCAGAGGGCTCCGGTGCATGAGAGAAGCCACCGCCGTTGGCCGGTGAACGCAAAGCCGACACCGGACTGCCCATGTGATAGTCATCAATCAGTGGTGTCAGGGTCGACGGAGAGGGCAGATTGGAATAGTCTGTCATAGGAGACGACAAGCCAGAAGAGAACCTCCAGCGTCCGTCGCCCTTCTCGGTCAGTGGAGACTCCATCTCCGGAGGCTGAAAGGGAGTGTGGATGATTTGGTCGACAGGTGTTACGAGACCTTGAGCCTGTACTTGGTACAGAGCCTCATGATTGTTACGAGGAAGTGAAGGAGAGTTGGGATGAGGAGAACGCGGGGTATCCAAGGAGGGATTAGAACGGGGCCCTAAGGACGGTGGGGGAAGGCGAACTTGGCATCGCAGTGCAGGTATATTAGCTGCAAGTCGACGGCGAGACATTGATAAAGGAGTGGGGCTTGGGGAAGAAAGCGACATGTTTTCGAAGTTGGACAGACCAGGTGACGCTAGTGCAGGTAGGGACATCGGCGAGGTAATTGTTTGGCTAGAGTCTTCGGAAGTCTGCTCACGCCGAGTGAAGTTAGGCAAAAGCGCGTCGGACTGGAGCACTTGGCTATTCAACGACAACTCGCGAGGCTCAGAACGGCGATGTTGAGGCTGCGTGCTGACCAGAGTCGGTTCAACATCGATGGCAGTGTGACACAGCGACGCCAGAGGGGACGATCGCTTAGCCGGATGACCGTAGGCAGGTACTTTAACTGAAAGCGATTGATACGCGTAAATCAAAGTCAAGTCGTAAACTGCACTTACGCGAAGCATGGCCACCATTCCGTTCTGTCAGCTCCCGGACGCACACGGCGATGGATTGAAGGGGCAGAGAAATTCCTGTAAACTTATGCACAAAGGTTTGAATGTCCCGAGCATGAGCCAACGCGGTGGATATGAGAACCACCTGCTCAGCGTCGCCAGAGGCTGAAGACGTGAAAATCGCCGGGTCGGTATGGGCAAGATACTCTGTGCTAGCCGGATACAACTCAAGAGCTGCACATGACAATTGAGATACTGACGAAAAACACCAAGAAAATACGCACCTTCCAAGAACGCTGCTCGCGTCCCTTCAGTCCAGCTATCCCTCGTCGCGTCCATCACGCGTCCTTTGTTCCTCCGATGAACGCCAAAGTCAGAGCGCTGTACGACGCTTTGAAAAAATCCGGAGCCACTGCTCAATGAAGGTGTAAGGAGGGAGGGAAGAGAAAAAACGCTCGCGACAGAGTGCTTCAGATTAAATAGTGTTTGGGCAACTTGAAGAGCAGCTTGATCGCGACGCGTGACGTCACGGGTGATACGATTCGGGAGTTTCTCACGGCACCACATCAGGCAAATCTGAAATTCTGTTTTTCATTTTCCTGCACAAGTCTCGGTACCGGTGCTACCGTCTGAAGGGTACCCTTGTCTTCTGCTGCCACGTACGGCGCTTGTGGCCGAGAGAGCGAGGTAGAATGTCTACAACCCTGCCGCTCTTCTGGCATTTGTCCTCGAACGACAAGAAAGAGCGATTGGACGCCTCTGCCAAGTTAATTGGGGCACTAGAACAGTTCCAGGCGCAGTTTGTGCCGAAAGCATCGCCCGAGACCAGCGACGAGGAGGGGGACCAGTCGGAAGATGATGCGGATACGTTAGACAAGCTGAACTCTCAAGATGTCTCGTATTCCATCCGCAGGCTCGTTCGTGGTCTTGCTAGTCCAAGGGAGAGTAGTCGACTAGGTTTTGCTGTCGCATTGACGGAGGTGCGTCCTGCGTTGCCGCTGCATTATTGGCTGAATATGACGGTGATGTATAGTTGCTGTCGCGTATCAACACGATCACCTGCAGCCAAATCGTCTCGCTCATCATGGACTCGTCGAAGACTCAAGGGTCGATGACCGGTCAAGAAGAACGTGACATGCTATTCGCTCGCCTTTTCGGCCTCACCTCTGTCATACAGTCTGGCCTTATAGTTCGGAAGACACCCCTCCCCGCTTCCGCTTCATCCTCCACCGTTGCCTCTAATTCAGCCAGTTACATAGAGATCGTCAAGCAGCTGATCGCATTGGGAGAAAAGAAGACCTGGTTACGTGAGAGCGCCTGGTGGACGCTTGGACTTGCTTTTGAGGCTCTATCAAAGTCTGACGTTTCCTGGAGAGACGACGCCCTCGACATGAGTCTTGACATCATTTACGAGAATAGGAGCTGGTCACCCGAAAAAGTGGCAATCACGGTAACGCTACAAGATAAGTACCCGGAGAAGGATTGGCGTAAATATCTTTCACCTACTTTCAAGAATCCACATATCTTGAATACAGCCAACTATGCTACCCTGGCGAAGATTCTCAAGGTGAGTCTGGCCTGTCTGTATCATGTATCCACTGAGATCCCTGACCTGCTTCCAGGAGTCCAGTTCGGACGAGGATGAGGAGTCAGGCTTGAAATCCGCCGCAGCGGGGACTTGGAAGGCTCAAGTTCATTATGTCTGGGATATAATTCTGGACGCATTAGTGCCCCCGCCGGAATCAAGCAAATCTCCTCGAGGATCACTGCAAGAGTTTTTCCGGATAGTAGTAGACGGTAAGACTTTCAAGCATCCTCTCGCAGTCGGTCTCACTTTTTCGAATCACAGACTCCCTATTCGCTGCGACTTCCTCCGCGGAACGGAAATATTGGGGATTTCAGATTTTCGAGAAAGCACTGCGCCGGGTGGACGCGTCGGACATGCCTATGCTTTTCACGAAGCACTTCATGCGATGCTGGATCAATCACCTGTCGAAACAAGATCGTTATCTGCACAAAGTAGCTAAGCGAGTGGTTAGCAGCTACGTTCTTCAGAGCTGCGCCAAAGTGTGACTGATCCTTCGGTTACGTTCGTAGGCAACTGAGATGCAAGCGATTGTGCATACGAATCCGCGGATGGGATTCACCCTTATACTTCAGCTAACAGGTGTACATGGGAGCCGGCAGTTCGACAAGTTGACTAAGACCAAGACCGTGGAATCCATTCTGACCTCTATGGATGCGGACGGTATCAGTAGCTATATTGAGTACCTGCTCGAGCATGTGAACGAGGAGGTCACTGAGACGTTAGAGTCGCTTGTTTGCCTCCCGATACTTGGTTCACTGACCGTAGCATATGTAGGACGGATATTCAGGTTGTCAATTCCCGAAGAGCCTGGGTAGTCGAGCAGCTGTCGGCTCTTGTCCGCAACGGTGCTGTACCCAAGCAGGACGATTGGCTCAACACCGTACTCGAATGGTTAGCCATACACGGACTGTTTGAGATCAAGAAAAAAACTGACAAAACCTCATACCGAGCGGTAAGTCGAGTCACTCATGCGACCATTGCGCACGCTCATTATACCTCAACAGCTTCATAAAGTCCCTTCGCCGCCTCTCTCCGAGGACTTGCGGAAGAGCTGTCGCGCACGACTGCTAAGCTGCCTCTCGGATTTATTGACACGTCCGGTTCCAAAGGATACTGGTACGGTGTTGAGATACGATCGAGAATATATCCCTGACCACGTTCGCAGACGGTGTTGAAACCCGCGACTCTGCTATGCACGCTAATGATGGCTCATTCTGGATAGGGAGGGTCTTGGACATTGTTACGACGCTCGAGAAGGATGAAAAGCACGCGAGGCCCACTGTGCAGTTGGATAACGAGGATAAGGAGCTTCGCGACAAAGCTCTTGAACTTACTCGGACGTTGGATAACGTAGGTCCACACCTATGCTGGTCTTCTTGTCCCAACATCCCCTTCTAGGCGCCAGAAGAACAGCATGGAATGGCTCAAGGCGCAAAGCTCCTCATCCAGGGCACACTTGTGTACCAGCTGTGCAACTTCGGAGAGGTGGATGATGACTATGCGGAAGCTCTCCAGGTAGCAGTATCTGTGACTTCTGGGTGTTACGTATGTTCACCGCTTCTTGCGTTAGGCTTCCGTTGAAGCCGCTTCGCGTCTTTCCGAGGTCAAAAGTAAGAAGGAAAAGAAAAAAGAACGGAGATCTGAAGCGGTCGATGAAGACCCACCGCCCATTGACATCTTCGTCGATGCCATACTCGGTTTCTTGGAGGAGCCGTCATCGTATATGCGCTCCTTAGCCAACCAATGTTTTACGTTGCTCTGCCACTTTGCAAGAGATAGTACGGTTGATCTGATCCTTGCTGTAAGTCAACCTCTTTTCTTCGACAGCTAGCCGTTTTTACAGAGAATTCCAGCAACTGGAACGCCGTGACCCCACAGAACTCTTGGATCACCAGGGCGGGCACGATACGGCTAACGAGGAGGAAGAGTTAGATAGTAATGACGACGACCATCAGTCTTCTGAACAGGAAGATTCCAACGAGGAAGAGCCTGACACCGTAATGAGGGACAAGATTGAGGCTGTCCTTAGTGCGAGTGGTATCCAGCCTGCTGCTGAGGGGTCTGAGGACGAATCGGAAGAGCTCATGGATGATGATCAAATGATGGCTATTGACGAGCAGCTTGCCGCTGTCTTTAAGAACCGGGCGACTGAGGCGAAGAAAGGCAAAGGTGAGCTAGAGCACACGCGCAAGACTCTACGAGCACTGATGTCCAAAGATCTCAATGCCCAGCGGGAAGCAACACATTTCAAGACTAGAGTGTTGGATCTAGTCGACATCCTCGTCAAAAGCAATCGTGCCAGTCCCTTCATTCCCCGACTAATCATGTCCCTCTTAGAACTCATATCTGGCTGCAGTAAGGACGAGAAGCATCTCGCCGACAAAGCGGGCGGCATCCTTCGTACCCGCATCGGCAAAATGAAGGAAATTCCGACCCAGGTGGATGTCGAGGCAACTGTCAAACTTTTGGAGAGCGTCCATTACCGTGCTCGTCGAGCTCGTTCTGGAGACATCCTCACAGCATTCAGCCAATCTAGCGTGTATCTGACCCGGATATTGCTGCATCATGGCGCGAGGAAGGCCACGCAGACAGTGTACAAGGAATCTTTAGCGGATTTCGTCACGCGCAAGGCATCGTGTCTCAATATCCAATTCTTCCAAGATTTTATTTGTCATTATCCAGCCGTCGCTTGGGGATTGCGCAACGATATGCTGGAACTGACTCAGAAGGCCGTTAATTCCTATCGCCGATGTCAGGTCTACCTGCTCTTACAAGGTCTGCTGGTTCAAATACCCGTCCAGGTGAATACTATTTCTTCGTCTCGTCTTTGTGGTGTCGCCTGACGAGTATTGACCCGACTTTCAGCACAACGATTCTCAAGAGATCGTAGCATTCATGCCACCTCTTCGCCTAAATATTCACGAGGTTCTAAGCAATGCCTGCGGCAGTAGCGCCACCCTGTCTTCTGCTCAAATAAAGGATGTCCTGAAGCTGGCGCTGACGGCTGCTCGCCTGACGAAGCGGCTATTGTCGACGGATGAGGCCATCTCTTCGCTTTGGGAGCCATCCGCCTGGGACGAACTGCTTGTGAAAATGCAGACGTCGGAACGCTTCAAGTCGTCTACTAGACTTCAGAGCATGTGCAGACAGATCATACAAGCCTCATCTGACTCCAAGGGGCCGAGCGCGTCTGCGGTGAAGAGAAAGAGGAAAGAGCCGGAGCCCGCGAGTGACCGAGACGAAGGTGTCTCCCCTACCAAGGCCAAATGCGTGAAAGTCAAACGAACACAGGTTCATTAGTGGTCCTGTCGATCTCTAGGCGGTGATGTTTTATTGGTATTACAGCCGTTACACAATGTAATGAGAGTCGCGCTTTCATCAAGGGTGTTCCCGATAAGGAAAATACTATGTATGGTAACTACTAGATGTACACATTGTGTCGATTCTACCCTGACTGTTGGCCAGCCTACACCACTTGACTCGATGACTGTACTCTGATTTCAAGTTCCAGCAGCATCTGAAAGTCCTGGGACTGGTGTCCCATGCATGTAGTGGCTATATCATCACACTTACTTCAAACATATTATTCATATACATAGAACGGCTGGCGGTCTGACAAACACATCAAACAAAGTCAATGTAAATAAAACCTTTACATTGTAGAGGATATTTCAATGTCATGGCGAACAGTAAGCTCAAACCGATTGGGTTGGACTGCAATCACACCAGCGGCTGCCTTCATGGCTTCCATGCGTAGCAAGAGCCTAGACACAGTGATACTCGTCATTGCCCACACAAAGCTTACGCATTTTTAGCTTCTTGCGGCATGGTCCTGATAGTAAAGTAACTGACTCACAAGGGCATAATTAATGAGTAATCCCCCTAGAGGCCCCAACATAAGCTTGGGTCTGACTCATGGGGATATGTCAACAGAAATGTACATACATTGCCAATGCTGCTCATTATACTGAGCACAATCCGGGAGCCTACATCTTAGCATCAGCCACACTGCAGCACAATTTTCTCAGCCGGCCATCTCACAGAAAATAGCCTGCAGGCCAGGTTAGCTGTTGTACATCTCCATGCAATGATGGTCCTCACAATGAAGTAATACAAGCCATCACGGTACAGGCTAGACACCAACTCACTCTGCACGCGGAATGGCCGCTCAGCTGCATTCAGTACTGTGGCCAAAAAGACATGGAGATCAAACACAGCCTAGTAACATCACTATTATTGTATCAGGCTATGTAGGGAGTCCTTACCTGTGATGCCCATATGGCAGGAAGAAACCTGGGTCTATGCATGACTATGCACGTGTGGTAGAATACATCTTCATATATGACTGAATCTGCATAGTAGAAGCTTGTATATGATAGAGCAAATTGGGGCAAACTGGTCCTGAACGCACCGACAACATCTACTGCAGTCTTGATGCCAAATGCAAGAGATGTCATGTATGTTATCATGAAGCCGACCATAAGGATCCTAAGGACATGCTTCCTGTAGTCCCACAATGTGTAAACCCTCATCAAGATGATCACTTGAGACAAGGATAATCAGTAGGTTGGTAACAACTGAACTATTGCACTTACAATCTGCAATAGCGGTATATACGAGGGAAAAGCAGATCATGAGGGCCAGCCATACACCGCAGCTGCAGGGATTAAGTAACAACCACCTGCAATGGGGAAGAAAGGCTTACAACTCAACAAATCTATGTCAGATACCTCTGAAGAATGGGCAAGATGAACTTCAAACATCATACTTCTTGGGATAGGTTGTAAGCAAACCCACTGGTCACTAGCCAGGATGGATAGTCATCACTACTCAAGTTATGGCAGATCACATACTCACCATATGTAGACAGCACCAGTGCCCCAAGCACCGCATAGCGAACAGTGAAGAAAGCAAGCTTGGATTTCAGTGAAGCAGGCCAGATCAAGTGTATCTCTTGGCTGAATGTGAGCAGGTGGTCCCAGCATAATGCTGTCAAACCGACCACTTGCAAAATTGTTGGTATGGTCATCTTACAGATTTATAGCACATACAAGTCACATATTTTGCTCCGCTGAGTCCTCCAGATGCATGCAGAAGAGATTCCAGTTGGTTGAGGAGACTCATCTGTACGTGGGATCAGCTCAGACTCAACTAATTGGCCAAGACTTTGTAGTCAGTGAGTTTCACGGGCCGGATTGCAAAGGGTTGAGGCTCACCTTGTGTTCCGGCAATTGATGGAAGATGTCATAGATATACGCTAGTGCATTGCCTTATGTCAATCAACATCAGAAGGGGACGTTTCCTGCACTACAACAACTTCCAAAACCTGATGATCACGATCAGTGATGCTCTCTATTTAATCCACTCAATGTACCTGTGCCTCATTCATGATCATATCTCGGGAGACAAGGTAGAACCGTGATACCACAGCCTTTGAGACCATATGCGAGAACACAAATACAGCTCGCAAGGACACGACCAATTATGAGGCACAGTCAGCACCCGAAAGATGACACCTAGTTTCCAAAGATGTCACTCAGGTGTACAGATGATAGCACCTGGATAGAAAGTCCCTGCCATGACCAGTTGCACTTCAGCAAGCACAAACCAGAGTACTGTGACAGAGCACTAAGCCATTACGCATATGCGATGCAGCGCAGCACATGACATGACCATGCTTATTGGTCACATTATTTCTGAAAATCAATTATACTTGACAGTCTGTGCTGTATTGCATCCATCCCATGAGGCAAACTGCTATAGTAAAATCCATCCCATTGAATCCGAAAAACATCCTGTCCATGATTCAGCCTCGGTGCCCTTACTTGGGGGCCATAGATGACAACCCCCGCTCTGGTGACTGACCATCATTATCACCTTTCAGTGCCCAATCCCTGTCCACTGAAGTATGAAGGGGTAGACTTTTCATTGTCAAGCTGATCAGCAACCCTGCGCTTGAGATTCCTAGAGCTGCCCACCAAATGTGGCGGATGCTCTCCCCAAAGGCCACTCTGACTTGCTCTTTCAAGGGCTCGTTGAGATCGTGGATCGACGGAATAATGGCGTAGGCAATGGCAGTGCCTTGGGGGAACTGCTCACGGAATTTCGCAGGCAACCGCTTCACCAATCCATTCTGCAGGATAGTCCCGCCCGTAGTAACACCCCAGACCTTCCACATGCCTGTCAGTGTGTGCTAACAGATGATATATATGTATGGAGACATACCTGGGCAAAATTGCGTAGGAATGTGAAGAATGCTAGTGCATGTGCATTAGCAGAGACAGGCAGTGGTGCAAGGACTGGAAAATATGTGATGGCAGTGAGCATCCCCAAGCCCATGCTGGCTATTGCTTGAAATCCGAGTGCATGGCTCCGTGGGGAGTCCGCCTGGACAGTGCTGAGCAAACCGGCACCTATAATAGCCAACACCCAACCAGTGTAATGCTGAGGACAATACTTCTTCGATGCTGCAACAGAAGCACCCGCGATAATCCCTGACGGTGCGAGGATGAAGGCGATGGTGAATGTGTCCACGCCAGATGCAATAGGAGAAGCACTCTTGCATGCCTGATAGTAGGTCGGAAGATAATCTGTGTATGGATTGTAAATGATTTCCGTCGAATGCCCTTCGAGTTGACTTACACACAAGGTACATCATCATGACCGGCATCAAGAAGGTTTGCGCATATCCACTTATGCCAGTCCTGGTACCCATGAGTGCGAAGGGAACCTGAACATTGGTGAGCATAGAAGGAACCAGAGTACGGGAAGACCTACTATAGGATGCTGGGGGACTTTTGCTTCATATGTTATAAATGCCACAAGCCCGAGCATACCAAGGATAAGTGGTACAAGGACTCGTGGGGAGCCCCAGGAATATTGGATTCCACCCCAAGTCAAGGCAATGACCACCGCGGTTGTGGATGCAATTACCATTATATTCCCGCTATTAAGCTGTCAGGCATAGAAAATGGCATAGTGAGATCACCCACAGCCAGTCCATCATCCGCATTTTCTCCTTGAATGTTCCCGGGGGTGTACGAAGCTGAAGAAACACGGAAACTAGTGAAGCAGCCAGACCACAAATAGGAATGTTGAGATCTTGATAGCATAAGATAAGCACATAAAAGTTTGGAAAGAACTGCCCTGTACATACAGAACAACCACCGCCATTGACCATGGTCAGCAAGCACCCCTCCAACAATTGGACCAATTCCACTAGCAGTAGACCAAGCACTGACCGTACATGTAAGTAGATGAGCGATGTAGACTATTTGAAGACCTACATTCCGATCAGACCGTTGAATATGCCGCGCTCGCGTAACGGAACCAGATCAGACAGTATAATCTGGACAAGCGATGCGATCCCGCCGCCACCTAAGCCTTGAACGGCTATTCAAGAGACCGAGTCAACTGACCACTTTACACACAGAATTACGCAAGACATGCTCACTCCTTCCGGCGATGAGGAAATTCATGCTCGTAGCAGCGCCGCATAGCGCACTGCCAACGGCGAAAATAATGAGTGAAGCGAGCATTACAAATTTGCGGCCGAATATCTGTTTTGTCACGTCGTGTCAGCGATAAGCGCACGAAGTGAACCTGATACAGTGTACCTGTGCCAAGCTGCCACTAAGGGGTATGAAGGCAGTCGATGCTAGTGCATATGCTGAGCCAACCCAGATGAACTCGGTACCACGGAGATCATTAACGATTGTAGGAAGTGCGGTGGAAACAGCAACCTGAGGGGCGTCAATTACGTCTCGACCGAATGTAGCTGTAAGGAGCAGGTTTACCAGCTCAAGCGCGGCAATGAACATAGAGAGCGCGATGGAGAATATGACGACCCAGAATCTCCATCCTCGCTTTCTGTCCGCCTCCTTCAGGTCGTCCATAGAGGATGGTGCACTGGCAGGCATGGTGGCAAGCTGGATAGCCTCTTCTGTTTCATTGTCTTTCAGGCATTTGTCTGACATATTCTTGCGAGATTTGAGGGAAAGGATGAATAGGAATAGCAGTACAAGGGAAGGAAAGTGAAAAGGGTCTTCCAGTTCAAGCTCCTTCCCTCAAAACAGAAGTCGAAGCTGTCCCGTGAGATTCCAAATATCCATATCATCGAACTCTACAGAAGCTCAAGCCTAGATGAATCAGAAACTCGCGCTGTCACAGAACGTTGATGAAAAGCCAGCGACGTGCCTCTTTCCGCCAGCAATCCGTTCGAGGCTCATAAATGAAACCGGCGCCGGAATAACTGAACGACAGGTACCATCACAGTGAGTATAACTTGATCCATAGGATTCCTATAACTCACAAGGGCTATCATGTAATCAACCCGCGGACATGGGACCGAGTGATGTCCGTCAGTACTTGATGTCCACACCTTTGGCCTACCTTTGTTGCGTGTAAGGACCCCTGTGTGGCGCTATGTCGCTAAAGGCAGCCTAGGACCAAGCATCGGACCAGATCGCGACGCGCGTATAAATGGAGGGAATCGGCATAGCCCACACTGCAGTGTAAGATGACCGTCAGTGCGGCCCTAACGGTGACTATCAGCATAGTGGATGACACTGATGCCTACAAGTGGAATAAACCATTCACTCATTGCAGCATTTACTCTGTTATGTAGCGGGTGACACGTCGCAGATGATTGATGACCGCTTAAGACAATATGGCGCTCTCAGACCCAGCAAAGTGCGCGCTTACCCGTTGATTTGGTGCTCGTTGCGTCGAGGACTCGTGTGCAGGTCGGACCATTCCGAATGCATCCGGCAGCTGCATGTTGTGAAAAGCTTGACCAACACGAGCGATGAACGTGCTATCTTTGGGCTATCGACCAGCGTGCAACTGATAACGGTACCAAGTAGTAGAATCGAGGACCGATATAACGGCACGCAAACCTAACTGGAGAGTTCCACGGCGTGCATCGACGGCTCCCTCCCGGGTATATGTATGAACGCCGAACTCGGAGCTGGCTGAGTTGCCCACGATGGGTGTCTAACGATGCGGACCTTGATTCAGCGATTCACTCACCCGCCACGGTATAATTAGGGAACGGCTTGCAACATACCTACCGGCACATGCTGAGGGGAGCATGCCGTAGCTGCCGCTCCAGATACGTCGGGGCAAGCTGGGCCCTACTAGTAATGCCTTGAATGGCTTTCGAAACAATAACTGCCGACTTTCTGAGCAGATATCTTACCATTTACAGTTGTGTTATGGTCGTTTGGTTGTGGGGCACCCTCAGGCTGTGAATGAATCTACAGTGCGTCTATTGTTCTGCGAACAGCTGTCATTCATGCCTCATGACCGTGATCCAATCACGCCGAGGCTGAAATCGTAGTGGAAAGACCCTACATCCCGCGGGAACTGGCAGTCTTCCTCGGATCTATTGTCGAGCAAGAGTCCCTGAACAATCGAGCTGCTTTGTCTATCTCAGTGAGGATTGCAGCTAGCACAACCCTGTCGGTCACCAAAGATACTGACATCTCCGCAAGGCCAATCCACGTTAGCCATTTCCGGAAGTTGAGCTGAGCTGAGCATTTGCTCCCGAGCATTTCCGAGCACTGCGCCGGAGCTCAAACAACTCACCGCTGGAAAAGGCACTGCTCCCGCAACAAGCTGAGATACCCCTTGAATATGTCAACTACGCTGACATTCTGGATTGACATCGCGAATGACACCAGTAGGTACAGCATCGTGATGTTCGACAGCGCCGTTCACGTGTCGTCAAAGACTGGTCATGCATTCATATACGTACATATATCAACCGAGTCCGAGGCTCTATGGTAACCAACGTCGACATAAGATGCAGTACTACTGCTAGTATCATGCCCAGGTGCAAATTCCAGACCGTCGACATGGTACCGTGTTGTCCTTCCAATATACTCCATGCTGATGTATTCGCGCAGACTGGTCATCGTCCAGCCTGTGAACCCGACTCGCCTGGAAAGTCATCATACATCGGAGTATCCAGCACTCGTCTGTGAGTATACCGATGTCCTCCGTGATTTCTGAGCTGTTATCTTCTGAAGCAACTGGCAGGATCTCCCACCCAATGTCCGGCGTCCACACAGCTGGTGCCGAAGCCTTTGCCTATCGTGTTATCTATGCACCTTGTATATAGATCTTGGTATTCAGGATACCAAGACCTATATATGGGATGCATGCCTTGTATACAGAGGCACTGATCTCAGTTCACCTGCGTCCGCGCATGGAAGCATTGATTTATGATGGCTATGCAAGGCTGGCCCTATTTCCGATGTAGCAAAAGGTAGTGTTATGGCAATATAAGCTGGACAGGTCAGAGATAACTCCAGCAGTAGGATAGCATGCCTGGCCATCTGTGCTAGAACTGGCATAGATTAAGCTGCACTAGCCTTTGACAGTGATCTCAACCGGACAACGCTCTGGGTACCGGTGAGACGCGCAGGAAGCAACACACGACAGATGTAATATAGAAAATAACCCGTCATTAGTCCGTGTTACTACTCTTGCGCAGCGAGGCCGCCGGTGGAAATCCTGTCAGCAAACCAGGCCCCAGTATTCAGCATCAGATAAAATACCATCGGGATTAGCCCCATCATGACATTCCCGATGAGACCTCTCCTCGTGATAGTATCCCACAACTCCGTCTTGATAATCATGGGCGCAACAGGAGACTTGTAAGGACCGACCAGGCGATAGAAAGGGATAAACGCTGCGCCAAAGCTGCAGAGGCATTCAATGTGCCATACACGAGGCATATGCCATTTGCTTACCAGTAGCATAGTAACACGTGCCATCCGTACTCCCTCCACAGCTCTCGCAGCCCAGGAGCCGCACCTATGTCCTTGGCGAGCGTACTGACATACGTTGAATGGTCCACGCCATACTTGATTCTGGCGTTCTCGTTCACGAGCAGGTGATAATGTGCCGCACGAAGCGGCTTATGAACCTGGTCTTTGAGAAGCGAGACCCAGAACATAGACTGGATTTCGGATATCGGTGGGATGGCGCCTATAGCGGGTTTTGTTCAGTACTCCGCCTTGCAGAGAATATGATGAGCGGTGATAAGTGGAGTACTCACCAACACCCGGCCTGACGAAGCCTATAAATGCCACGCTGGTATCCCCACTCCAGCATATGTTCCTCACATCCGCTTCCCCAGGCATCTTATACCCTTCGCCTAGGAAACCGAATTCTTGCTTATAACCGGTGGCATATACCACCAAGTTCGGCTTAACAACTTTCCCCTGGATCCGGACTGCATCCTTGCGCTTTGGCCTACTGCGCTTGTCCAAGTCAAGAGGAAAGACGGCCCGACCCCCCTCTGTGAAGTGCGAGGGGAAGGGAGCCAGTTCGACCGTGAAATCCGTTTGCGGGGACATATCCTCGTCTGGATCACTGTACCGCGAGAGATAGTCCATGAAGGCGGGTCGTCGGCGGTAGGGACGGTTTATGTATGGCATGGCTTTGTGGGACTAGACTACTATGAGCAGCGCACGACGGGAAACAAAGACATAGTTAAACCTTGTTGAGAAAGACGTAGGCACGCCCTAGGCGCTCTGGCTCGAGTTCGCCGACCTATCTCATAAAAGGCATTAGGTTCGTGGCCAGCTTGCCTCGCGTAGTGGTACGTACCCACTGGTTGCAGCCTGCTTGCGTACCTTCCGATCCATAAGCACTGGGTCCGTGCTGGGATGTATCGAGATATTCATACCTGTCAATACCCAGAGCACTCTCTTGATGACGAAGTCCGAGATGCTATTGCACAAGCGCATCAGCTCAGAGTCAAAGGGAGCAGAAGAATCGCGAGATACTCACAACCATCGGATATGCGACTTTGCTACCCATGGATGCTGCGGGAGACTGCTGTGAGCTTGAAGGGAGAGAAACATGTGGAGGTACTTACTACATACGCGGTCTCTCCGAGATTCGTGATGAGCGAATCGATGGGCACCGGATTCTTGGACTCAAACTTGAAGCCGAGTAGGGAAAAGTCATTCTGTGGAGCAACAAACTCAGCACCGAGACAGGCGTGATGGCGGTGGGCTGACAAGTGCTTTCGGGAAAGACAAGAACCTGACCTACCGGGTTAGCCTTAGCGCTGTACAAAACACTCAGCTACTCACCCCGCCCTCGAACAAAGCACCACTTCCTTCGCCCCTGCCTTGGCAGACTCGTAAGCAATGTCCATCCCTGTTTCTCCTGTGCCGAGAATCAGGATCTTCTTCCCTCTTAGCTGGTTCCGAGACTTGTATTCAGACGAGTGAAAAAGTTTCGCTTCGGGGTTATTTTTCAGGATGTTTTCAACTCCTGGAATATCAGGGACGTGGGGAACAACGTGTAAGCCGGTACAGATTGCAAGGTAAGGCGTGTGTATAGTTATCGCCTCTATATGGTTTATTAGAGTGGCATGCTGCGGTAGACGCCCAAGAGACTTACCGGAATCCCATTCCGCGGGGTTATCTTTCCGTTTCCGGACGTAAGAGACGTTATTTCCACCCTGTGGGTCCTTCGAAATATTCACTACTTTGCATGCAAGATATATTCTTGACCATAGATGGAAATGGGACGCGTAATCTCGTAGGTAGTCGACATATTCCTGAATAGCGCTCAGTATCCACCTGCGTCAACGAAGTGCATCGGAGGATATTTACTTCGAGCGTCAAGTGGTCAGAATGTGAGAGAGGAAGCCTAAAGTCGGAGAAAGAGGTCAATTGCTTCGACGACACTAAAGTCGCGTTCTGTCAGTCGGAGCCGTCAGCCCTGACTGAGGATAGCAAGATGTAACATAGCAGACCTCATAAGATCTGTATCGGAAGGTGCCACCGATGTCGTCCTCCTGCTCGAGTACAATCGGGTCAAATGGAAAGTCGTGCGTGGCAGCTTCAAGGAGCGTCTTGCAAGCAACCAGGCCAGACGGACCTAGCTCGCAGGACAGTGGGGTGAACGGGGTAACTCATGAGTGAAGTAATAGCATGGGCATACCTGCCCCCACAATAACGACCTTTGCAGACATTTGTCCTTTATTGTATTATTGTACACTGCTGGGTTGAGCCTGACTTCTAGAGCGCGCCAGCTTGCAATGACACCAGTTACGAAGTTCTCTGCCCAAGCACAGCTTCAAGTTCAGGGAGTCGCACAACCTGAAGGATGGCCGGCCCAGAGAGAGAAGACAGTGGGAGGTACGGTGCACCGCCCACGGTCTGAACCAGAGTACAAGGGATGCGCGTATGCTCAGTGCGAGCGAGCAGCTGCGCGTGGGAGCGTTACTACTTGAATGACATCGCAGATCTCCGCACTAACCGCTCGGTTAAGGCCGAACCAATGATAGTCTTCCTTCTCGCATTTCTCGTCTGAGCTCCTTGTTTCCAATACCATGACCCTCACTGCTCTGAATCTTCTTTCTTTTAAGGGAACACGGAGCACTGCGATTTCTCACTGATTTTTGGCATGCGAGGAGTCCAATCTCGTCTAGAATTCGGCCAAAATCATCTGCTTCGTAATATGCGGGCCTCTTGGAGTGTTTTGTAGCCCGTAACGCTCGAACTGATTTGCTGAGACAAATGCCATTCAAGTATGTCGGCCCAATTATTAACTCTTGAGCATAGCGTATCCACCCGTTATCTGGGCCTGAGTCTGCAGGCACAGAGAATCCCCACAAAGCTAGCCTCCTGGCAGAGAGCTGAGGTTTACACACTCATTTACATAACCATGAAGGGATATCTCAAATTCACTTAATTCTCGGTAGCATAGAGGGTACGCAGTTTGATAATTCAGTTCCGTGGGGCATTTTTGAGTGCGTCCACGGCACTGTTCGGGAATATGCCCTGACTAACCAGCACGTCGACACATTCCTTGATCCAATCCTGGCAGTTCAACTGCTGCACCCTCGCCACGTTGGCCCCCTGGTCAAACGCCGTTCATATTAGACGAGCTTTCGGGTATGATACGGCCAAAGCTCACCGAAGACGAGCGTCTGAGGCTCGGCCCAGGAGCCGGGATAGAGAAAACCACTTCTTCAAGCTTACACACGGGCTCTACTGGCGCCTCTGGGATATCCTCAACTGATGGATAGTCCTCGACGTATTGATCATCGATGTCGGCTAGCAGATACGTTGTGTGGCTGCGAGCTGTCTGACGCAGGTCATAGTTACGTGAGATGGCGTGCTGGAATCCTGACCGCACATCGCCAGTGACGTGAAGCCTGCTACCGACGTTCGCGTCCCTGATGCTAGGTACGAAGAAGGACCAGTGAGCGGCGAACAGGCAGCTGTGATAGACGACCAGGCGAATTTGGCGGGTCATTGCCTAGTAAATGTATTTTATTTGAGTGCTTGTCGATATAGATGGAGCATCGAAGGACTTTCAGCAGGAGATGCTTGGATAGCAGCGCGGTTGTGGCAAAAGTTGAACTCAGAGATTCGGAAATGCCGATTAGACTTTTTCGTGGGTGCGGCAACATTCCACCGCTCGATTCTGAACGAGCCAATCACGAGCTTGACTCACTCATCGGCACTCGTCTGCTCGACTCAGGTCGGTTGCACTGGTAAGGCTTTGGCATTGGTGTGCATAACCCGGAGGCCCCTTTCTCATCCTTTCACACTATACGGTGCATGATGCTTACAAACCCAGCACAAGGATTAGTGTCACCAGATCGTACGCAAGCACGCCTCTTACCAGCTTCCCTCGGCATCGATTTACACTGGCTTTGCTCAAAACATACACAGTCGTCTCCAGTCCGCTAGAGAGGATGACGCTATGCCCACCGATGTATTCGCCCAGCGAGTCATCAGCAAGATCATCAGCCCTGATCCCCCAAACTATATGTTTTTCGGTTCCAAAGTCTACCATGCTCAGTGTGACAAGCTAGCTGCCGATGTCGCAGGTTCTTTCGATCGTACTGACGTATCGCGTCTTCAGGGCGCCTTGCTACCAGTCATGGCACTACCGTTCATCCTGAACATACTTCCGTCCCCGACTTCAAGTTTGTTACAAGACGATGGAACTCCGCGTTGCACCACCCACAGCATCTTTTCTTAGCCTATTTTCGCGTCTTCGTTGGCTGCTTTGCTATCACCCCTAGATTCCTTTTGTCAACACACGATAAGGAAGGCTTTATGACATTTACAGAGGGTTAGCTTGGGAACGGGAACCAGCGTGTCCCGCCAACGTCGAGAGCTGCTGGAGAAGTGATTTCATTATTGCCCAACGATCCCCGTGTGGTGACGGCACCGTGTTCTGTTTGCCCGTTCTCACGCCCGGTAAATCCTTTCCAACAGAATGCCAGGATGTTCGGAGAGGGAACTTGGAAGCCTCGTCGCCGAGCACTTTCGCTGTTACCCCATGTGGCTGTGCACGTAGTAGGTTCATGGTGCTATGTCGAGGTCCTACAGAATCCCACAACAACGACAATGGCTTCTGTTCTCGTTGACCGGGCCAAGATGGAATTCGAAGCACACACTGTATATTCGTCCTCCCGTCCAACGCGGCGCTCATGGCCGCTCCCGTGTCTACTCAAGAAACCCCTGAATGGATATACTCCCTGAGTCACTGTACGTACGCTCCAATCGATAACCTTGCCGTCGGCGTGAAGTGTCGGTGGACCACCCTGCAGAGAGCCGTCGCGAGGGCATGCAATGGCCCATTTGCCTCGAAGGCGGACAGCCGGGCCAAGCCAGGACGATTGCCTCTGCCATTGTTGTCGTTGCTCGTGCTAAAGGAAGTGGCTGATACTCGGCAGGATGCACTAATGTTTCGAGGAAGGTTGCGCCTTATGAAGCTCGTTGGAAACGTGGGAGGACGGAGCTGGTGTGATACGAACTGAGCTTTTTGGGTCGTGCAGTTGGTGAATCCAAGGACTAATGAGGCTCTCCGAACTACATGTTATCCCTGTAGGATGTGATTTCAACGCTGGAGGTTCCGACTTAAGTAGAACGGCGCGAGGAATAAATGTGACCTCGGTAGCCCTCCTCTGTCCAGTACTCATTGCTCGATACCGCCCTGGAACTGTCGGAGTTCTCGGGAGATCCAATGTATCAACCGACACCCAATTTTTACCTTGATGCGTACATCCAGTGCTACTCTACGTACGCACCAGGATCAACAGCCGCGATCTCTGAGGCTCGGACGTTCACGAGCTAGAAGAGTTGGCCGCGGTCGAAGAGCAGCATTTGAAGTGTTCTGAGCTTCCAGTCGCCCATATTGCGCGGGAATTACGATGGCTACCTCGTCCATTTGATCGTCGTAAGCTTGCAAGATGATAGTACATGAAAGTTAAGCTGATCATAGCTTGAATGGAAGTCCATACTGCATCTACAACCGTGCCGCCTGAGAGAATAAGACGTCGCATATGCTTTGAGCTACATCATCCGGCTTCTGCTGTACACACTGTTGGTACAAATGGTTAGTGTAACCTAGACGAGAAAGGATATGACGCTACGGACCAAATGACCAGCGCCTTGCACGTATGTGACAGACGCTGGGACCCTCCCCGCAGTCTTATCTTCCAATAGTGCATGCAAGTTGGGCGTGCTGAAATGTGACGGAGGCGGTTTAGATGATTCTAAATCAAGATAGGCATTTCCTTACCCCACATCATGGATTGTTCCCCAAATAAGATGGATAGGGATATCCTTGCAGGTCTCAGTATAGGCATCCATAGCGTCTACAACGAGTTGTTCACTACGATATGAGCCCTGCTCGGCAGTTCAGAGAATATGCACATCAAAAGTCTTTTAGCACTCACGGCTTCGTGAGCCCTTGACAGAGAAGTAGTGACGCCATTGAAATTGTAGGGGTACGGATACTTTGCTGCCGGGTGTTTCCTCAGGCCGTGGGCCTTACAGAGTGGTATACTTCAGTTATGCATCAATATATTTACCCCGTTCGGAACACCTACTACATAAAGATCCAGTACTCGCGGGTCCCATTGGTCATATACAGGGGAGGACGCAAGATCTTTTCGTGCATTCTTTCGGCTTTGCCATGTATCCCTGCGTAGCCACGTCCACGCGGTCAGCATTTGTGCCGATAAACACATTTCTTTATGGCCCTTGAGGGACACTCCCGATTCGAGAGCGAGGATCGAGTGGAAATTGATACGGGGTTCGAGATCTCTCATGAGCAATCTGCGCCAAATGCGGGTTGTGAATGAAGCATTGAGTACACTAATGGCACTCACAGGATAACCACGCCGATGGAGTGGCCGACACCCACCAGCTTGTCTCGCTTTGAAAAATCTATCTTCGCACCCTTGTCGGGCCCGGCAGTCAAGAACAAGTGAAGTGCGCGCGTATATTCCCTAGGGTGCCCTGAAAACTTGTAAGTCCCTAACTCCGTATGGACACTGAAGAGGTTACAGTCGTCATCGAAATCCTTCTTCAGCGCATCTTCGTTCAACACTGCCGACTCTCCATGGTTTGGAATCTCGAGGGAAATGATTTCGCGAACTTGCGCTGATGCGATTCTCTGGGATGCTATCTTGAGCAGGGAAGAAATTGTAACTTCCCAAGTCTCTTTGTGCATGCCGAGTGCATGCAGGAACACAAGTGTGTAGCCATCCGTAGCCTGTGGATTGACGTAGTATCTGGTACCTAGAATCTGCAGAGGATAGGCAGGGCGAGGATCAACCACACATCTCTCGCGTAGCAATTCGACCATTGAACGCCTCGATCCTCGAAGATAGACGAGCGCTCAGGTGCTGGAATACTGTAAGACTATGAGCGTGTAGTCGGGACGACTAAGATATCTGCCACCTATCACTTATATGAATGAGTTATAAGCTGAGAACCCGGCGAATATGAGGCGGGAGAGGGTGATAGATAAATATGGTACCGCGACTCGTTTGTATTGTATTGGTCTTCCGGCAGAATGCGTATGCCATGAGCCGGTGTATATATAGATCACCTTTTCAAGGCAGCATTGCGCATAGTGCGCGTCGAAATGAAGACATGGGCTTTCTTGGTGTGGTCAATGCCCATGCCCACCACTTGGCAGCTTTGCCGAGCATCCTGGAGCGAAGTTCACCGGAACGTGTACCCGCGACAGGCGAAGGTTGGCATCTGTCACTCTATCACAGGCCTGGTGGGCTAGAGAGTAAATGGGGACCGGCGCTCAGTGTCTGAATTAGAAGTCTCATAGCTCCGGGTCGGCCAATCGCGAGACAAATGGTGATTACTCACGTATTGTGCCCGTTGGCCATCACATCGATACTTAGTGCAGAGTCAGATATTACTGAACTTGGTCTCGTTCTTCACAACACTCCGCACGGAATGGTGTTTATCTAATGAACTATAAGAATGCACGGAACCCTACTTAGCGAGGAGTGGCACGCATGGGGGCCTCTACGATAAGCCCACAATGGAAGAAACCGTGATTGTTCAATATGAGCGCTTCACAGTGGTTAAACGATATGGGTGAAAACAACGCCAAAATCCACCTACATGATCACGAAACCAGTCTCTTGATTTCCAACTAAGCTCTTACTCACCGTCTGGACAGCGGCTTTGTAGAACGTCTATTCCAACTTTCCAGCCGTTCGCAGATCCATAATAGGCCACCACTTTCGAAAGTCACATACAGTCGAAGTGAATCGGAGATGGTGCCAGGGACGTCGCAATAATGAAAAGAAGTCCAGATGGTCTGATTGTGGCACCTCGGGGACTTGGATTCCTCTCTCCGACATGGTGCGACTGAGAATGATTTTTCGACAAGTGGGACCATCGAACTGCAAACAGCTGGTAGACGAGGTTCTCAGATGATTGTCTTCGGGCTGTTACACCAGTCAATAGACTCAGTACGTATCAGGCCTTTTCTTCCCCCGCTCTCGAAGATCACAGTCGGTCCAAGGTATAAGGGATATCGATGGTGACCCCGAACACAGCCAGAAACTGGCGAACTTCTCACGAGCCAGTGCCACCATGAGAACGTATAGAAAGAGGGCAAGGACAGCTTCATAACAGCTGCGGCATTTGCAATAGGGTTGTCCAGAAACAGGTCCCTGCATGCAAGTTTATCGAGTAGGCTGTGACAGGACACACCTGTTGCGAGTCGCGACATTGGGCTGATAATCCTAGTCAGGCTCCGACGCCGACTTCACCGATTCGGCGAAGTCAGCCAGGATCGGATCCCGCCCTATACTATAGCTTTGTGGCACCTGTTATTTACGGGACCTCCTGATGTCCTTCCAAGCACCACGTTCTTCTGACGGTATCCAATTTGACGGAAATCACCACCTGAGCGAATGTCCTGCCAGTGGTCAGTACTCAGTATCGGCACTAGTATCGGCACTGCTGATGCGACACCGAGAAATCTTGGCCAGATATCTCATCAAATTGTAGGGGATCTTCATATATATTGTGGCATGAGCCCGTCTCTTACAGTACCCATTCCGCTATCGCTGATAATGGCCGTTACCACAGATTACATTCAGACTACGCAGTCCGATGCCTCAAGACATAGTCTACTACTAACCGTCTTGGATCGTGTGGTTAATGGCTCTCAGCAGGCCTTGGCGAGTGCGCGATGGAATCCTTTGCGGTCTCTAGGTAAGGGTTTGGTTTCCGCAGTCTTCCTTTCGTGACGCCTTCCTGCTGCAGCTAAATCCTCCATCTTAACCATCCTTGGGAAGATCACAAGGGGTCAGCTCGTGATCGAGTCGCAAGGACAAGAGTACAAGTTCGGAGACCAATATACATTGCCACTGCACATTGCGGGCTCTGCAGATTCACTACATGCTCGCATCAAGGTATTAGAAGAGGGTTTCTGGGTTCGGCTTCTTCTGCACGCCGACTTTGGATTCGCAGGTCCGTTGCCTCCAGTCTGTCCGTCTTATCTGAATAACACGGAAGCTTAGATGGTTATATGCTTCAAGAGATCGAGGTCGATAATCTCGGAAACGTATTCAAGGTAGCATGCTACATGCCCTGGTCTCACAATACGGTCTCTGACGCTAAATGTAGATATTCGTGCTCAACCGCAAGGACATAAGCGAGATGGCAACGCTGGTGTCTCCCCTGATCCGCACTATGAGCTACCTGTAAGATCAAGTCGACTGACCTAAATGAATCTGGATCACCGTTGTTTAGATCTAATCTGCGGCTTGCAAACTGGATCTCTGGCAGCCAGCATAATATTTCGTATGTATTCCTTCGTTGGTTGGACACAAACTACATATTGCTCCTGTAGGTCTCACTACGATTTGTCCAACGATGTTTTCGCGGCCTTCCTATCGTGGGACATGACGTGCGTCATCTCGTGGTCTTGAGATAGGAACTCTGGCCAGATTCTCAGCTTCCCCTTTCCTCATTCAGTTACAGCTGTGCTATCTTTGACAATGAAGCAAAGGGAGCGATAGGGGATCTACTGGAAGAACGCCCGATTGCACCCCCGCGACGATCATACAAGGATGTCCGCACTATTCCTCCAGACGACCTGGAGCGAGGGCAACTCGAAAAATTACACCGGGTCGCTCAAAGGGCGCGTCTGACCCAAGGCTCTCGTGTTTTAGAGATCGGGTGAGGTATACATACACTGACTTTGTATTTCTGCTGAATAAAAGGACAGGTGTGGCTGGGGTAGTTTCGCCATAATGGTACGTCATTCCCTCATAAAAATCTTTCAGGATTTTAACGTCTCTCCTCGCGACTGATCCAGGCAGCAGGAACATACGGTGCGACTGTGGATGTCATTACCATCTCCCTGGAACAAATGCAAGCGTTGGAGGTGACTATCGAAGCTGCCGGCCTGTCTGACCGTATCACGGCCCATGTCATGGACTACCGTGAAATGCCTGAATCGTTCCATCACGCATTTGATGCTGTGATATCTATCGGTGTCATGGAACATGGTGTGCATTCACTGTGTATCGTGCTGCCAATTGACTGAGTATGATGGCTACAGTTGGTATCGAGTTCATGCCCGGGTGGTTCAAGCAGATGGCATGGGCCATGAAACCGGAAAATTCATTCAAAGTCTTTACCATGTCTACCGTTCCGGATACAAGGTGGCCCATGTATTCGGCGTAAGTATTGAGTGAGGCGCATGGTTGCTGTAGACGAACTGAAAAACCCTATCCTTCAGCGAAGTTGATTTTGTCCGGAAATACATATACCCGTAAGTGTCCTCGAGCAACATAACTGCACATTGAATACGATTGTTATACGTGGGAAGGGGCGGGCAGCTGTCGTCGGTGAAGACCTTGGTTGATGCCATAACATCTGCAAATCTGAATGTTCTGTCGATCGAAGACATAGGGCCTCGTATGTCTGCCTGCTGAGAGGCTCAAGCACTAATTTTCAATTTATTGTATGCCCTGCAGATTATGCCAGGACTCTACGCGAATGGTGCTATCGTTTCGAGAACAACTTCGATTCACATATCAAACCTGCATTGGAAGTCAAGTATCCGTTCCTGAACTCAGAGCAACTAGAAATATTCAAGCGAAAGTGGATATGTAAGCACTACATTGTTTATGACGCTCCTCATGCATTAAATCGTCCTCTGTAGATTATTTTACGTATAGCGAAGCAGGTTTTGCCCTTCGCAGTATCTCTGATCACATTTTCGTAGTCACGAGAGAGGTTCGCGCTCGATTTCCCTATGTGATATCCTCACTGACCGTCATCAAGGCGAATCTTCACATTGACTAGAAGCCATGTCCACATAGCCGAGGTGCATGTTGTTTCCCTCATCAATGGTGTCCGATGGCCGCGAGCACACTGGGGCCTCATTCACCCTCGAACCGTTTGTAATATATCGGCTTGCAACTTTTCCTAGCCCGTGAAAAGATACACATAGATACCGCGAATGCGTAACCAAAGGATAGATTACAATGTTATCGCCCCTTACCCACATATTGTGAACGCCTGCAGACTGAATTTGAGGTCGACTTATGCTCTCAATGAGAGTTACAGGATGAGAGGAGCTGGTGGTTAACTTCCTGTGCTCTAAGTGAGATTGCCCGTGTTCATACGACTAGAGTCAGAGTCATACTCCTCTAGGTGGACACCTACCCATTTCTACTTGCTAATTTCCGAGATAGTCTGGTGCGGCATCATGACGGACTTCGCCGTTTACCTTGGCGGTGGCCCCAATACCTTACAAAAGAACAAGCACCTACGTTTCTGATGTCCAAGTTTCAAAGACAGGAAGGACGCTCAAAGGATCACGTCACATAAGCACAGGGCAGCGAGGGCTACTTCGGCTGCTCCTAACAGCACGTTACTGAGTTGCATAATGAACGAATGCATATCTCAAGTCACGAAAGGAAACAACAAAGGGAGGAAGAATTTACGGGGTACAGAGAATGGTACAACCCGGTTATACACCAGTGTCGAGAGCATGCTCAAGTAGTACTCGCGCACTATCTGAGCGAGGTGTGATATTGCACTTGAAAGGCTTGATATGACTAGTAGGACATCGGTAAGCGGTCTCATCCTCAGCCCAGCTCTTGGACAAGGGCTCACCTTGTTATAGCGGTCGTGAATGCCACTTCAGGTTCCTGGACAACACCAGTCTCGTCTACCGCCTTCCGGAACTCTAAGGTGGCGAGCGCCGTCGCTATCTGTATGAAGACAGACGCTTCAGCTATGTGTTGACCCGGGCAGACTCTCCGCCCAAAACCAAAAGCTATTTCAGAAGGGTCGGGTTGGATGGGGACGCCGCTGTCGGGTAGAAATCGTTCAGGAATAAATCTGTTGGGGAAAGAATGCATGAACATATGCTTCGAATATATGTCATGCACATCTACTCGCCTCATGGGCTCAGGGTAAACATCCGCATCATGCAACATAGCCCATATGTTGGCGATAACGGTTGCTTTCTTCGGAATGTAATACCCTTGGAAATAGTCGTCCGTAGCGGTGCAATGAAACAAACCCATAGGTGACGGACTGGCCCATCGCAAGACCTCCTTCAAAATGCATTCCACGTACGGAAGGGAAGCACGGTCTTGCAGGCTAGGTAGGCGCTCCTTACCCACGACAGTATCAATCTCCTCTTGAGCACGCTGCTGAATATCGGGCTGGGTTGTCATGATGAAAACGAACGCTTTAGTAGCGGCTACGGTCTGAAATCCAGGTCAATGGGAATGACAGCCGAGTGCAAGTCATGACGCACGGTATCCGCCCCCGCAGCATACAATGCGCCGGCTGTCCAGAGAATAATATCTTCCATCTCTGGATCAGCAGGAGGACCATCGGGAGGCTGCAGGAGCGTGGACGTAAACGATGGTACAGCCCTGCCAGCCGCCTGAGTTGCATGAGTGCGAACTACATCGGGAATCGTAGGCGCTCACCAACTCCCGCTTGACAAAATTGTGGGGCTCCAGGGATTGTGTGTACAGCTGCGTACCCCATTCTCTTGCCTGCCGCTTGAAGCCGCAGCCCGGGAACCACTCCGGGAGATACTGCACTGGGAGTGGAACCAATAACTGAGAGTGAGTGGCAGCGACATATATGATCCGATATCTCCGAGACATACATATGGGAAATGAGTCGACCAGCCATCGTCCTGGAGCACCCGCTAAAGAACCGACTCGCAATGCTTCCTCGGCGATAGCGACGAAGTGATCGTTATCCTTTTCAATCGAGTAGCCGTAGGCTATCTTCATAATCACTGCAGATGAATTACTTGGAAGTGAGGCGCACGCCCATTGGTTTCTGCTTGACTTCATATGTCATAGGGTGTCTCGTACCGACGTATATGCTGAGTGAAATCTGCAGGACTTCGGAGCATGTTATCCACCATTACACGAGCCTCTCGCTCTAAAACGGGCCAGTAGCTCTCGGACGCCTTGCCATTGAAGGAGTGATGCATGAGTTTGCGGTACATCTTGAAGCGCGGGTTATGTGAACTGCGCTATGTGAGCCATAGACCCCGGCAGAAGAAACCTTGATCAGAGAACTCGCACATGTAGAAGATGCTCTTCTCCCGCTTCATGAGAGTCCCGGCCATGGCTGGGAAGGGCCTGTCGGAGTATATCACGGAGCGTTTGTTCAGCAGTTCGTCCGCAACGCTTGCGGAGTTTATGACAATCATCCTACGACCCACTACATGGAAGGAGATTATGCCTTTCATCCCTGTCCAAGAGGTGAGCTTTTATTTTCAACCGCTGGCGCAGACCTCACCGAAGGTCCTGCCCCATTCTGCGTAGGTCTTCCAATACTCTGTCTTGGGGTGTATTAAGGCTGCACCAAGTATCGGCAGTCCCTTGGGTCCCGGAGGATACACAGGTGCTCGGAAGTACGACACGATGCCGACGAGACCGAAGGCCAGCGCGCCGGCCAGAAAGATCGGGAGAAAGTCAGTCGTGGACATGACAAACGACAAGCAAAGCGCGGGGTACTGAAACGTGTGCCAGTCGCTGCAGACTGCGAACTACCTGATGTGCAAGAAGCAGAGGGAGGCGAAACGAGGAAGAATATCAGAGAAGGGTACCTTGTGGACCGCTGCCAAACTTGACTGACATCTGCGGAGGTGAATCACATTCTAGGCGCATCAGAGTAGGTAGCGTGAGAGGACAGGCAGCCCCCATAGCAGACGAAAAGACGCCTGCGATACCCTGATGCTTCCCGGGCCCTCCCCGAGGAGACCTTGCGGTTCGCAAGCCGGACCTTGCCGCACGGCATGCATATTCCCTGCAGTGACCGGTGAGAGTTACAGATGACATTACCAATAGGCCAACTCCTGCGGCGGTGAGCGGACTCCTGCCATGAACGAGCCTGGACGAGGAAGCAGAGCCTCCTGTTCGGAATGGCGGCGCTCTCGGGGACATATCAGTGGCCGGCCGCGGGGTCCTCGGGAGCGGGTATAACCGGTAGACCGCAGAATCGATATCGATCGAGTTCCGGATCCTGTCAGCGCCCACAGAAACCCACAACGGAGGGGGAAGCAAGCTCCGCCAACTAGGGCTGAATGGTCCTTCATTGATATTCCTGTCTGGACAGCCCTGACTGCGCTCCCGAATGTCTGAAAGCAGACCAACCATCTATACATCAAAGGAAAAGAGCCTCTGAGAACCCCTGATGTTGTCTCGCGTTGCAGCAGTCCAATCTTGGTCGGATCTGAAAACAAATGTGTTTCGCCAGCAGCTGATTATCTCGGAATGTAGCTTTTGGTGGTCTTGGAGGCGCATTCGGGACTTGTCAGATTAAAGTCAGTCATGTCAGAAGACCGTTGAATGACATATTAATCTATTCTGCGACCGGCCGAACAAAAAGCTTTAGTGGGTGCCACTCGGTGTTCGGAGGCGTGCCCCAAATCTAGGTTCCAGCTATGGTGGTCATACCTTCAAGTTACAGCAATTTGACATCCACTTTGGCGGCTGCATTATCGTTGCTTAGGGCTCCACAGATTGATGTTATACGGGCCCGAGTCAGACGGCGCATAACTACAGCAGCTAGATCCCCGCATTCACAACGGCGGCTTCCTTCGGGTGAGTCCACCCATCCGGCAATTCATACTTTAGCTGACACATTATCGTTGTCACTGATGATCGTCGATGGAACTTCGCTGATTGATACTATGCCTGGATAGATGGCCTCATGCAAGTCCCCGCTATGGCTTACGGAAAGCGTTAAAAGGAACCGTTGGACCCATTGATGTAGTATGATCCTTTTTTTCTGTTCGCACATCCGTTGGAGACATCTGAAGCCTTCGCGGCTGAATGCACCCGGATATCTTCACAAGCTAGAGTTCGGTTCGATTCCTTCATTCATTCCCGCGTGAAGGAACGATCTAACTACTGCTCCTTTCAACATAGGGATGTTGGTCAGTACCAGTAGAGCTTTCGCTATTGGGAGAGGCGCTTGGATCTGGTTCGATTATGTCTGGGCCCGTTGGTTCTCGCAAATCGGTTTTCCGGCTTACAACAACAGTCATTGGTGGAAGGCCTGCTCGTGTTAGGTAGGTTTCTGATTTATTCACGGGTTTTTCCCGATGCTCCTGTGTGGGCCTCAAGCAGGCTTTAGCTGCTCTTTCGAACTCGGACATTCTTCCCCTAGGGTATGGAGACTCCGGGCCGCTGAACGCACCGGCCAGGTGAAGTAGTTTGCAGCCGTAACTATCGTGTCATCCAGAGGCAATCTCGTAATTGCTGGGACCGCATGAATGGTCTCCGTCGATCCCTACGCGCTCCCCCAGATGTTGCGGCATCAAATGATGCTTGACCAGGTGCATCTTGCGCTAATATGGTCTCGAGAACTGGATCGTCGCAAGAAACGTCCGCTCGATGTATGCTTCCGAAATGTGGAACTACGTAGGTAATACATTGTAAGCGGCCTAGAAATGTGGCTTCTCCGCTCCGGTGAGTCTCGTCAATTCACTTCCTTGCGTTTGGATACATCCCGTAATGTATATCGTACTTTGTTTGATAGATACATCTGAGCAACCGTTCAGACTGCATCCGTTTCTCCGTATTCCTGGGGGGGTGCAGTGTGCTGTCGCGAAGCAAGCCCCGAGGACCCCAGAGCCGGGCATGCAAATTCTTTTGCCTGACTTGTTCGCATTTCGAATACTGCGCCCTGGGTTGTTGCAGAATATTCCCTACGAGTCCAGGGCCTGACCTGTGAATGATCCCGTCGGCGTTCATGCTGCTGCGAGCCTGGCTTGAACGAAATGTGGGAGGGGTACTCCTCAAGGGAAAACGCATGTTACATACACTCTTGATCCCACGCGGCATTTGACACCAGTGATCTTGGCTTCCACGAGTCTGGGTCCCGTTTGTTTGCCTCATCGCTGGCGGTTGCCAGCAGGCCTGTGCATTTATGTTACCTCGACTGCTGGGTTTTCTGACGCAAGAAGCTTGAGATGCTAATGACGCCGAAAGGTACCTTTGGCTCCGTGACACCTACGTATACCTCAGTACACATGCGAATGTCTGATCTTTTGCCTAGAGTAGCAGAACTTCGGTCCTGATAAAGCACGTCCATTTCCATATTGCTCGGAGGATGTCCCAACCCGTTATGCTCAATTATTCTTGGCAAAGATCCGACGTATCCGAGCCACCATCACTATAACAAGTATCAGACACTTGGAATGACACGATGAACAAACATAGCTCAACGCCACACCACATCCAAAAAACAGTATTGCATCTCTGCGATCAGACCAGGACACGCCGTGTCCGACGCCTGCCGTTTCTTCCATACTACTCTATCGATGGACATAAATAAAGCAGCGCACCGAATAGCCCTCATACGGGCCTGAAGCTTTCTGTTTCATCCATGTCGAATGCTACTGCTACGCCAGATGCTGCGCTGCTTGCCGCTTTCGATCCAAATGCCACCTTAGGAGCGCTGCAAGTCGGCTGTTTACTGTCCACTTTTCTATTCGGCATTGTCACTGTTCAGACGTTCATGTACTACCAGACGGCACCGAATGATCGCTCGGTACTGAAGATATTGGTACGTGAAATACCTTCACAGTTGGTGCAACCGGATGCCACTCCCTTGTCTTACAGTTTTGCTACTCCCTCAGGTCGCTGTAGTGTGGTACGTCGTGGAGAGCCACATGGCTCTGGCTAGCTTCATTTACCTCAACTCGCAGGTGGCTGGAGCTAGGCCACACGATCTGCGTGTGCCACACCCTCTATATAACAACCATAACTGATTATGGGCACCCCGAGAGATTAGTCAAGACACCCATCAGCTTAAGTGTCTCTATCCTTTTCAGTGGCATTGTTGGCCCTCTCGTACAGGTATGAGCTGATCTCTTGTTATGCTCACTCATCCGTATGTTTAACTTGATCCATACGAAGTCATTCTTTGCATACCGGATGTGGGTCATAGCAGGATCCCCATACTTGCCCATCTGTTGCTGGTCCCTTTCAGGCTTGAGGTTCATCGGGAGTGTCATCGCTGCAGCAGAAGCATTCAGAATGAAGAGCCTGTCTCAGTATGAAAGCCAGTGGCAATGGTTACTCACAGCCATTCTTGCAGTTGGGGCTGCAAATGATGTGATCATTGCCTCATCACTTTCCTATGCATTGAATCGCCAGAGAAATACAGTAATGAGGGAGACTGTGGCCCTTGTGGATAAATTGGTCCTTTATACCATCCGTAAGTCAGTCTACAGTTACATTGTATTCAGGCCTTCACATATTTTCATTGGATTCAGAGACAGGACTGCTCACAAGGTGAGTATACACAGAAAACTGCTTCATTAAGGTTGATCATTGAGCTGTGACTATGTCATTTACAGCTTGGCAGCTGTTACTATGCTTATATGTGTGAGTTAAAGCAATGATGTCATGATTTTTATCATTGCTAACAGGTCAATAATGTTCTGGCAGTTTCTTACTATGAAGCGCAACTGTAAGCACTCTGTGTTGCTAATTGGATGTCATGCAATCTGCTCATCCCATCTTCAGTTGTCTGGCTGGCCATCTTCATGTTCCTAGCAAAATGTGAGACACATTTCTCATTGGATTGATGTGTCCTAACCCCCTATCCAGTATTCTCCAATTCCCTTCTTGCATCGTAGGGCTACTCAGCTTGAGCTGGTAGGTGCCTTGAGGCTGACCTATTACATAGATTGAATGCACGTGTGCAACTGCGAAAAATGCAAAGGGGAAAGACCATCACCTTCAGCTCCCTTTGGACAGGATATGGTTCTAATACTATCCACAGTGGACCAAAGGTCTGTCAGATAGGATATTTTGACCTCAGTCTGACCAGGACATTCCTGACAGTTTGCACCAAATCCTGTCAATATTGAGATGACCAAGGTTACAGAAACTGAGTACTCAGCAAATTACATGGTGTGTAGGAATCCACAGTTTTCAATCAATTAGTGCTGAAGATGGCTTTACACAACAGATGACGAAGCCTTGCCCGATGGAGAATTTGGAATCAGATGCAGTTCATGTTGGGGACCAGGTTTGAATTAAGTTTATGGTCTTCTCCCTCTCTCCTTGCATTGGCAAAATGGCTTGAATTTCTCACTTATTTTATGCATTTGTATGACTTCATTTGGCTGCCTGAAGCTAACTGGTCATGCTGTACAGCAGCAAGATACCACTAATATTTCCACGTCTTACTGTAGCAACATATACAAATTTCTGTAAATTTTCCCCATTTCTTGTGGCAGTCTGAAGTGGCATCCTGGGGATAGAGGGTAAGGTACTGCAGCAGGCTCCTAAACCACCGTCCTTAGCGTTCTCGCTCCTCCTCTACTAGGGCACATGTGCAATGTTATGTAATACAAATCAATTTTTAATTTATCACTGGATACAGAATGAACAGAGGAAGATAACACTAAAACCATCTGTCTCGTGTCCTCAATCCTCTCACTTCGGGAGTTACACTCTTTTGGGCCTAGCAAAAGATTGTATGGTAGGGATATATGAAAGACTATAAATGATTTTGGGGCTCACAAAAGATAATCTATATTGAGAATTTCGAAGCTTGTAGTATATATTTTCAGCGGTATTATCTTTGTTGCTACATTATAATTAAATCTTTTAGATTCCCTTCTGACACTGGAGGATTTGTAATCTTTAGGGCCGGGCAGGGGGTTGTACAGAAGGGAATTCCCAGCCAATCAGAGCCTGTGCAATTCCCTTTCATACAACCTTTTGCCTGGCCCTAAAGATTACAAATCCTCCAGTGTCAGAAGGGAATCTAAAAGATTTAATTATAATGTATCAACAAAGATATATTACAAGCTTCGAAATTCTCAATAAAGATAATCTTTTGTGATCCCCAAAATCATTTACAACAGCCAATCTTTCATATATCCCTACCATACAATCTTTTGCTAGGCCCAAAAGAGTGTAACTGCCAAAGTGTCTCTGCTAGGGTGTGTGTGAAGATGTTATCTGATATGGCTTATATAACGTGACGCTATGAGATGGCTGGCCCAACTCGTCGTCCAAGCTTTCTCCGGAATTATGTAACGTAGCTAAGTGACTAACGATGCGTCGGTTTACAGTCGTTTGCATAAGAAACTGAACATCACGTTTCCGCGCGCGTTGTTTGTCCGCGCCAAATATGCCCTTTTCGGGTATCGGCAAACGCGCGGCAAAGGGCTTACCGGAGGGCAGAGTGTTCCTCAAACCACTGTAGACATACTAGAATGACTGATTATACTAAGTACAGCTATATATTATACATTGCATGCAATGTACGAAGCCCTTTGATGCCCCTCCGGACATCTACAAGTCCTTACCTAGCCAATGAGCCCCGCGAGAGGCCGTCTGAAGTTGTTAGGAAGCGATGTCCTAACTAGTCGTCTTGAGATAACTGGGCCACGTGCCAACAGTTATGTCGTCACTACCTCAGTAAGCGTACTGAAAGGTAGGTCTGGCCGGGCCAATGCCAACGGTCAAGTCAAGAGTCCAGGTAATCGCTGTATTCAACAGGAGGTTGAACTAAGGAATACATGGGTTTTCCTACAGTATATATAGTAACTGGTATAGGGGTTAATACCCAAAGAAGAGAACAATAAGAAAGGACGCGTAAGCCATCCTGTGAGAACGTAACTCAGAGAAATGAGAAATACAAGGGCGCCCATTGGTAGAAGGTGACTCAAGGGAGATAACGTGTGAGAAGAAGATAGCGTCCATGGGAAGGTCTACTCAGAGAAAGGTACTGTCCAATAGCAATGCTCGGAATGGAAATGGAATGAGATGAGCATGGGAAAATCATAACATTACCCCCTTCCTATGGTCGAAGTTTACCCAAACTTCCTAGGCATGACCAGTTACCGAACCGTCCAGGTCCACAAGAGTGCCATCATCGTAGTCTTGCTCTTCGGTGGCTTCTTGGATAGCATTGTCCCAAACAGTTCGTTGAGGACAGGCAGATGGATAATGCCCTGGTGGAGTGCGTCCACAGATGCGGCAGCAGAAGAGTCGGCAATGAGATTGGAAATGACCAGGCTGCTGACATGCCCAGCAGATATTGCCATATCTTCCTGTCATATTGGTAGGCAGCACTGGACCGTCGACGTCAATGGGGTTTTCTCGGGATCCAGTTGG